GTCCGGTAATATCTGAGCAATTATCTTCCATTGTAGAATCTTGGATTTCATCAGGATCATCCACATTATTATGAACAAATTCATTGATTACGTTCAAATTGCTTTCTCGGATAAATTTGTCCGTATCTTCACTCTCCATGTCACCTAATGTATGTGTGTGTGTATAAAAACAGATATATTAGAATAATATACTATAAAATATAAGATGCTATAAGATAAGGTAAACCATTATATATTTAAATAAATTAGCTATTATATATTATTTAAGTGAATATTATATATTGTTTCTTATGTCTCTTATTTATTTTATCTATTTTATATATCTTATTTATCATTGTTTTTTCTATGTTTATTTTTTCAAATAATATACGATACAAGAATGCATTTACCATCTTTTCGTTTCTTCAATTTTCCTGTTTTGTATTCTTCTAATTGTCTATCAATTTCTGCTTGCAACTCGCTTATTTCCGCATCTATATTATCTAACTAAGAATCAAACACCATTAGTAAGTTTTTTTCACGCCAAAGACTGTAAACTTACCTTAAATTTGATTGAAATTACCAAATAAAGAATCGTTATTTCATGAAGAAGCACGTACCTTTTGTAGACGTTCCCTATCCTTCTTACGTGCTGCTTTAAATGCTGGCGGGTCCTGTTCTTCCTCCAGGTCCACTGTCATAAATTCGTCTAATGTTAAAGCACTGGATGGTGTATCGCCGAATTCTATTAATCTACAACAAAAAGGCTTCATTATTACTACACAAATGTTGATATATTATAAAAAATAACAAACCTCTCTTTGAAATTAGTTTTACCTTTTACGTAAAGTAGACTCGTGTACTTTAACAATTTTTATAATGTCAGCAGATGTTCTATTGAATTCGTGTAGTCGTGCGGCTATCAATAGAGCTGTGAGGAGAAAAGCAATATATAATTAGAGAATTGTTGCTAGAGAAAAAAAATCCCAGGTTGAAAATAGAACTTTCTTACCTGCGCCACATAGACCCGATGGTCTACGGCCGCTATGAATACTATCCCTTTTCATTCTCTGAACTACTCTCAGAGCTGTCATAGACACTTCGTGATGTTTATCACCGAAATCGAGCTTATTCGCAAACCTTATGATGTACAAACAAGGATCTACGTGAAACAGACAAACAGAAATTTATGTTGAAAAGAATATAAATTTACGATTTCTTCCAGACGCAAGTTTAAATTTCGCGCGCGGATTTGCTTTACCTACTTTAGCTTTTGTACACTCGTGGTCGGAAAGACTGTTTGATTTTTTGTAAGTTTCGGATCCTATCTTTGTCCAAAGCAACTTTTTCTGCTGAACGCAGTGTTATTTAAATTGTCGCGCGTCTGTGCACCCAATAATAGAGATGTGCGATTTTGCGATATATCGCAAGACTTCGATTTTCTTTTCTTAAATCGCAATACGATACGCAATTGGTCCTTTATCACAAAATTGCACCTGCGATTCAAGATCGCGCCTGCAATTCAAAATTATTCGTCATTTTAATTAATTATCTGTGCAGATACGCGCGACAATCTATGATATATTTTATGTGCAATTTAAAATCATATTTGTTACATACAATTGTAATGCGATATATATGATGCATTCATTACGATTCTTAAGGAAGATCACATCGCGACACATAACCCAGATAGCGCAAAGAATTCAGTCGTAAGTCACCAATTCTGAGTTCATTTTCAGGTGCAAAAAGAATTCTTTTCACTGAACTGGACTCTGAAAAATTCTTTTTGCATTTGAAAATGAACTTAGAATTGGTGACATCCCAGACAGTACACATGTCCAAAACTGGGACATAAGACGTCTTTGCCCTTGTCGACAACCTTGCTTTAATTTCTAAGTCGTTAGAAATTGACCAACCACAGTCGATTATTTTAAAAATAATTGATTGTGGTTAGTCAATTTATTACGGCTTAAAGATTAAAGCAAAGGATTGTGGACAAGGGATTTAAGGCGTCTTTCCCCTTGTCTTTGTCTTTAATCTTTAAGCCGCAATAAAATAACCAATCACAGTTGATTATTTTTAAAATAATCGACTATGGTTGGTCAATTTCTTACTCTTACTTCCTACTTACTTCCAATGTAGACGTCTCTTTAAAGACATCTTGGCTGCGGTCCTAAATACGCTCACAGTGCTATCAGCGCGCTCACGATCGGTCCGATTTATTTCATGAACGTTTTTCATGAGCGAAATGACGTCATGAATTAATGACGTTACGCGCTCATAGTGACTCTAGTCTGAAAATGGGTCGTCATGAGCGATACGTGATTTGCGCGAAAAAATAGGAACGCGTATAAAAAGGTTGAAAGTCGTCGAAAGTAATCTATTCGAAAGGTCACCAGCAGAGTTACATAATAATTAAATTTATATTACAAATAAGTATTACAGCAGCAATCAAAATTAATACAACATACTGAAAATGTGTTTTGAATTCTTCCGCTATATATCCAGTGATAACTTTTCCTACAAAACTTTCAATTCGAAGTTTTTTTCTCTAATTTTCTTCTCTTTATAATCATAATTAAAGTGACATACAAATAAGTACCCTCTTCATTTTCTTCGTCGCTTGAAGATGAATGAATTACAAAACATCTTCCGAATCCTCGAATACAATTTCCATGCATTGTAATAATGTAGCTGTTGAATATCTATTATTAAAAATGTTAAATGTTCACACTTTTTGCTGCTCTGCACGGGTGGATTCGTCGTGTTTTTAATCTATCCTTTAAGGTTAAGAATTACACTTATAATAATCACAAGCGGCTCGAAATAAAATCATTGTTAGCGCGTTCACATTTCGGATCGATCATAAATCTCGTGAGCATTATTAGCGTCATGAGCATATTTCGGACCACAGTCCCAGTTTTGGACATTGTGCTGTCTGGGATACGACTGAATTCTTTTTGAACTCTCTCTTTTTTTGAATTCTTTGTGCTATCTTACACAGTACTTAACAGTACTTAACTTTGTGGTACTTACACAGTACTAAACTATATTAAGGAAAAAATACTTAAATATCCCTTAAATAAATTTTCAAGTATTTTTAATTAATTAAATTAAATTTAATTAAATTTAAACATATCAAGAACGCGTAGCTATATAAAATTAATCAAGCTACGTATAAATCTCCCTTTTCTTTTCTTATTGAAGACACTCCCTTTATAGAAATATCATTGATAATTACTTATTTTCAGTATTAAAAATACTGGATAATAAGTAATTATCAATGATTCTTAGTATATTTCTATAAGGGTCAGCACAGAGAATTAAAAAAAAAATTCAAAAAGAATTCAGTCACGCGTATGTTATCAATTCTGAGTTCATTTTCAGATGCAAAAAAGAATTCTTCAGAGTTCAGTTCAATAAAAAGAGAATTCTTTTTACATCTAAAAATGAACTCAGAATTGGTGACGTACGACTTCTTTTTGAATTCTCTGTGCTATCTGGGAATTTCATAAATTGCACATCCCTACTCAAACCGCGCGCGTACCCTCCTCCTTCCTCCACCGTCTCCTCCTAGCGGACGTCTATCGACCGACGCGGCGATAGCGTTGGCGTCGACGGTGGCACCCCTCAACCAGCGCCCGTGCACGGGGAAATGGCGGCTGCATAGCCGACGACGCACCGTCCTCACCGCAGCCGTTTTGTGTGGCGCGCGCGCGCGACGTCGAGTCACGACGGGACGAGAAGGACCGATCATACGGGGCGAGCGTGACGACGATGGCAATGTCGAATCTCTACTCGAAGATCTCCACCAAGCCGATGAAGCGCTTTCAGGACAACGTTGCGGTCAAGCAGACCAATGCCTGGGTGAACGGTGAGAAAAAGACCGACGGGTATAGGTAGATAAGGACAGATCGCGTTTGTCGGGCAAATCCGCTATTTATACTTGGTTCTCTTGCGGAGAGAGAATCCGCGAGAGGTGAAGGACCTCGGGAAGTCGCCGATCGCGCGCGATATCCGTCCCGACCTCTCTCCGCGGGACCGCGCCAGAAATCTATATTTTCTGGGAACGCAATTTCGCAGGCAGCAGAACAGCGATTCGCGTGCCTTCGCCTATTTATTTGCGCGCCTCGTGACTCGGGCGCGGGAGGAACATCGGACGATAACCCCTGGATCCATAAAAATAAAGACGCCCAAGACCACACGTCGTCCACCAGCTGGAGAGTTGTGCGAGTAAAGATTCTTCGTCGCGCCAAACGATATCTCGATCTCTCAAAATTATGCCGTTTTCGGTACCGCTGCCTGACGCAACGAGGCGACCGATATTCAGCGTTATTTTCCGCCGACTGTCGTTGACTTTTGAATCCAGCCGCCGCGCACTTTCAGTTCAATCAGACTCGAAGGTTCGCAAGAGAACAATGTAGCGTGTAAAATCGCTATCGACAAATTGATCGTGTGTCGATATTTATTATACGCGACATAATCTATGCACGTGCAGCGCGACAATAATTTGACTCGAGCCACGTTCGTCTCTTCCGTAAACTTCGGCTGAGACGAGAGTGGTTCGTGTTCAGCGATTGACGGAAGATCTCTGGGCGATCTCCTGTCAGGATGTTCCACCGCGATTCGCTCCAATCTCGCCGACGTTCAAGATTCTATATTGATTTGCGCATTTGTTTACGTCGCGTCCTCGTGCGAGCGCGCTCGTCGTGTGACGCGGTTGCACTCGTTGCTGCGTCACGTGCGTCACGAAGTGCGAACGGAGATGCACGAGCGGAAACCGAGTAAAGGTCAGTACACACACACGCACACACAGTGCGTGATCAGTGAGGTGCGTCGCGCGTCGGTTGTGTCGCGCGTCGGTTGTGTCGCGCGTTTTTCGGCGTTCAACGGAATATCGTTGCTACGGTGATAAATTGAACGTCAGCGTATTCCTCGTAGCAGCTCAAGGCCCATGTTCTGAGCATCGATCATAAATCCTCTCACGTGACCCCGATCTTATCGATCTAGTATGAAATCACGAAAAGTGAATAATTTTGCGGTACCTCGGGAGACGATCACGAACCTCTTCTTATAAACTTGTAAAAAAATTAACATCTCCATATGTATCTTCAAGGTTAGATTTTTACCTCACGAGCTCACATCAGTGGAAAAGATTCGTAATTGATTCTCGATATTTATCGTTAAAAGCACCTCGTGACTCCTTCTGATTGACTGTAAGCCACTTTTGGGCCCAAGTGTTGGCAGAAAAAATTACGAGTCGCGCGTTGCTGATGCGCGTGTGTGAATAAACCTTACGAATCTCGATTTTTCCGAGCAAAACCGCAGACGGGTATTCAAACGCGGACGAGATCGCACGCGCTATGCCATCGTGACACAGGAATCAAGCCATCCCGAATATTGCGGAATAATGTACACGAACGGTAAATAATTATCAAGATCGATTGATCTGACTTGCGTGGAAGATGACAGGTTCTTCAATCGAGTGAAAATAGATGTGAACTGAGTGAAGCTCGCTGCGTGAATTTCGGAAGCAACTTCAAACAAGCATGCTTACATAACCTTTTGTCTCTCTCTTTCTTTCTCTCTCCGGTATCATGAGAGATGAGTTTCGTTTGGTGATCGCGTCGACACAGAATATCGTTTCGTTTCGGATAGAAATGATTCGAAACAATTTCGGAAGATTATATTTAACGCTTCAAAGTATTTGCAATGTCAAACCCTGCCTATAGTTTCAGAATGAAAGCAGCTATCAAAGAATTTGATATACGAAGCAAATAGTTCAAATAGTTGTACATTCATACATACATATGTATGTGTATGTATATATAGTATGATAGAGATACTTTTGTTGAATGAGTTGTATTGAATAAAAAGGGATGTTTTCATCTTTCCTTCGAAAAGATAGTTCTTGCAAAACTTGATGTTTTGGTGACATTCTCAATATAGTTTTGAATGATACAGTTAAAATACTTCCCAGAATGTCAATACTACTTAGTAAACAACAACCAATGGTAACACTACATCAATGTTACAATTTCCCATTTAACAATGTAACTTACTATGTTATGTACAATAGATGTTACATTGCATTTACATTGCTGAATGGGAAATTGTTGCAATGTTATCATTAATTGATGGGTATTGATTAATTATTGGATATTGAGTATCGTGTTTTCTTTTTCAATATCTTGGGTAATATCTTAATATGATCTATACTCAAGATCATCAATATCTTAGGGTATAAACACTCTTATCAGATTAGAACTTAGACAATATCCTGTGTATTTGGTACACTTGACAATGACAATTTTATCTGATCTTTAGCGGAATCTCCAAGCAATACATCAGATTCACCACCATCAGTAAGCCCACTCTCTTCATCTATTGTGCTACAACGTGAGGGGATTGTGAGTCAGCCACTGAGCGCTCCTGCATCACCTCTGTCTTCCCTATCATCACCAGTAACCCAGTTAAACCTACCATCACCTGGGGACTGCACCCAAGATCCCAATTGGCAAGCGACAAAGCCTACAGTACGAGAACGGAATGCAGCCATGTTCAATAATCATCTCATGGCTGATATTATATTCATTGTTGGCAGTCCAGGTATTTGTGTTATCTCATATTTTTTTAATTACTGAATGGCACTGTGATAGATACTAAATTTTATGTCGATACTGTAGGCCACACACAAACGATACCAGCACACAAGTACGTCCTAGCTACCGGCAGCTCTGTATTTTATGCTATGTTCTATGGAGGATTACCAGAAAATAAGAGAGATATAGAAGTGCCTGATGTTGAACCAGCTGCATTCCTCGCGCTGTTGAGGTAAGCGTAATAAAGCTTAAGATAATTTGAAGAACATCAGCCTTGAAGGGGAATTATAGAAGATAATAGAAGGAGGAGGGCGTATTAGGTAGCGACGAGACACGGTGCGTTCGGGACCTGCGTCTTTTTCCTTTCGAAGAGAGAAAAATATCAAGAGCGCGATTTGCTAGGCCGAGACTAGAGGTCTTTCGCTTGCCGGGCGACTGCTATAAACTACTGAGCTACTTGACGCTCCACGCTCACGATACTCTTCTCTCTCTAGATAACGCTCAGAGATGCCGTTCGGAAGCGACATCTCTGGCGTGATCCTGAGCGCACGGCGACTACAGAGAGAAACAATTAAAATTTATATCACGAATTAAATGGGGCTTTTTCTACGTTTTATTTGTTGAAAGAAGAGAAAGTAGCATTTTCTTGAATCAGAGTAACTTTGTATCGTTGACTACAATATTGATTCTTCAAGGTATATGTATTGCGACGAAGTGCAGCTTGAAGCGGACACGGTTTTGGCGACGTTGTATGTCGCGAAGAAGTACATAGTTCCACACTTGGCGCGAGCATGCGTCAATTACCTGGAGACGAGCCTGACGGCGAAGAACGCGTGTTTACTTCTGAGCCAGTCTCGTCTGTTCGAAGAGCCGAATCTCATGCAACGTTGCTGGGAGGTGATCGACGCACAAGTAAGTCAAACCCAAAGAGTGCTAAGAGCCATTACTTTGAACGACGGGAACTTGGACGGGACATTCGAGGACGACTCGAGCCCTTCCAGCGACTCGGTTGATCGCGCTTTGAGTTTACATTCCTGCGGGAACGGTTACGACAAATTCGAGAGCTTGCGGTATCGGCGCGCGTGTAGAAGTGCGGGACTGAGTGACGGTGATAGCTGTGAGGCATTCAAGAGCGGATTGTCGATAGTGCCGTACTGCTTGAGTCTCTCAGAGAACGACTGTTATGCAGACAACCTCGCGAACGAGCGCTTGTCTTTCTCACTTTTCCGTACGCGAAGTGAACCTTACTTCCCGGATAACAAATTGGACGTCGAAGTCACGCAGAATATCACGTATCAGGATAGCTTGACGGACGAGTACGAGTGCGGTAAAGCCAATCGCAACGACGTCTCTAGGATAACGACCAATACCAGTCGAATAGTCAGCTAAGTGAGAGCCGGCGAAAAAACCGAAGATTTCCAATTGTACAATTGTACCGAATATCAAACACGTGGCTGCAGATTGTGCTTATAAAGAAACATCGTTTCGATTATTCCTCTCTTACCACAGCCGGACTCGCATTGCATAACAATGTTATTTGCCATAGATCGTTCTTGTACTCGAGAAACATCTGTATTAACGTTCATCGCGTCTCTGCGGGACATTTAGGTATATATATATATATATATATGTATACATATATGTGTAGGGTGTCTCGAAAGTCGCACACTTCCTCTCGCGATAATAAATGACTTCTATAGTATTTGTGTTCAGAGGCAATTTTAGAGAAGGTGCACGACTTATGGCATACCCAATATTTTAAGCTCCTTTCGAATAAATACTTGGTAAAAGACTTAAGAGAAGCAATATTTATATAGAGATACGTGCAAGACTTAAAAAGAGAAGATTGTTATTACAATATTATTTAAGCAATTGTGCTTATAATTGTCGTTATTCGATGATCGTGTTCTGATATATTCCTTTTAATCGCGATGTGTTTCAGTGTCGATATTAAGAGCTCGTACACTAATGTAATTATATATAGTGTATTCGAATATTGAAGTGGTATATCTTTTAATTTAGGAAACGGACTGCACATATAAACTTTTTTACATATACATGTATTATTTGTTTATATTTTTATCAAGCATAGTTTCGTATGAAACTTTGTATTAAGTGTAATAATTAATTAAAATGAGACAATTTCAATAAAATTGGTCGTTTTTCAATGAACTGTGAAAATGTTATATTTTATGATTAAATCTCAGTTTTTTAGTGATATACGATTCCCTTTTTAATACGTAAATATAAAATTATACGTAATAAATGGATCTTGATTATTATTTTTTATTTTTATGTCAAATTCAAATAATTATTTCCTTTTTTCATAAATTAAATTTTTAGCGTCTCATTGCCATTATTTCCGTAAAAATCTACATGATACTTGTAAAATCATTGTTCGTTTCACAAATATTAAATTACACGCAAATTTTTACACGCGTTTGCGTTTACCGATAAAAAACTAAAATTTTATGCAGAACTAAAATCGTACTGTACATTTTTATTAAGGAAATATTCAAGTTTTTTTTTGATAAATTAAAAATCGTAAAACAAAATGAAAGTCAACGGAACGATAATATTAATAACAACGATGTATGAGATTAGCTTTGACATTAAATAGCAACTATTGTACAGGCAGAAATGGCACTAAGATCCGACGGTTTTGTGGACATTGACATTCATACACTCGAATCAGTCTTGTCGCGAGAGACGCTGAACTGCAAAGAGATACACATATGGGATGCTGCGTTACGATGGGCTTCCGCAGAATGTATCCGACAAGATCTTGAGCCAACTCCTGCCAATCAAAGGCAATTGTTAGGTGAGATCAGTGCTAATATTTTTATCTCGGAATAGAGAGAGATTTTCCTGCTACGTGTCAGAGCTTATGTATAAGTCTGAAACATCCTGTATACCACAGTATACAATGTAAATTTCTTTTTCAGGATCTGCCTTGTATTTAATTAGACTTCCCGCAATGAATCTGGAAGAATTCGCAAACAGTGCAGCACAGACTGGAATTCTAACGCATCAAGAGACAATCGATGTGTTTCTGCACTTTACAGCTAGCAACAAACCACAACTCTGTTTCCCCACCAAACCACGTCAAGGATTGAAAACTCAGGTGAGCGAAGCGTGTTATACGAAAAGTCATACCGCAAAATTAGACACAAGAGGTTTCTCATTCTTCTCGTGGCTTTCCTATTCTACCATTAAAAGAAGATGATAAAGTCTTAAGAAAAAGTTTCAAAATCAATATCTGCGGTGGTCGGATAGATAACCATACAGTATCGACTATCACATCAATATATTCGGATTATTGATATCAATAAGATAAAAAATATTATTCCACACATAAGAACGTTGGATTAATAAGGAGTTTATCTTATTTACAGGTGTGCCATAGATTCCAGTCTTGTGCATATAGGTCGAATCAGTGGCGATACAGAGGCCGTTGTGACTCGATCCAGTTTAGCGTCGACAAGAGGATATTCGTGGTGGGTTTCGGATTATACGGGAGCTCGTCCGGTGCTGCGGATTACAACGTTAAAATAGAACTTAAAAGACTCGGGAATGTCCTCGCGGAAAACAACACCAAATTCTTCTCCGACGGCTCGAGCAATACGTTCCACGTTTACTTCGAAAATCCGATACAGATCGAGCCGGAATGTTCGTACACGGCGAGTGCGATATTGGACGGCGGGGAATTGAGTTTCTTCGGTCAAGAAGGCATGTCGGAGGCGACGGTCGGCAGCGTGAACTTTCAGTTTCAGTGTAGTTCCGAGAGCACGAACGGCACCGGCGTCCAGGGTGGACAGATTCCCGAATTGATTTTCTACGGGCCGCCGTCTGACGACTGACGGAAGATCGCGACGGAACTTATGGTCTAATCGCGTGGCTCGCAACGAAGCATAATATTCGAGTCACTCCCGACAAATGGAAGCCTGTCGCCAAATTCTCAGACAGGGAAAACGTGTATTCAATAGGTGCACTCTAACGATCCGGTTATTCAACATCCTAAACGAAAGTTTCACAAAATTCCACAAGAATTGCGGAATGAATAGAACAAGATTGCGTGCAATATTTTAACAGATGCAAGCTTCATCGAGTCTATATGTATAGAGTTATAGTTATCTTCTATTGTAGATATGTACTATTAACTTAAGACGACGGCGTTTCAGCGGACTTAACATTTTTAACGTGGAATTTTTTAGTCATTTCTCCAGTCATTTCTCATACGTCTCTGTTAATTAATCCGTTCATTAAATTTATGTCGAAGCACAGTATTGAAAGTTAATGTTTCAATTCAAAAGATGATACCAAATTTTAATATGAACATGCAATATATTACTAACGTCAGCGTAACTTGTTACAAAATTATATTTTTGTAACAGGTGGAGACAGTATTATACTATTGTACAGTATTATACAATTTATGAAGGCAACAATTAATATATGTTTAGAGTTTGATTCATGCTAATTTAAAACTGTTAACGAATCTCTGAATTTTTAACATTGACATCAACATCGTATTTATATCGAATAAACATTTAATTATGATTTCAAGAACATTTCTGAAACGCCTTAACATAGCATTATTACGATCTCGTTCATGAACGATTGTGTGAACATTTTTGGGAGAGAGTGCATCTATTTTTCTATGCATACTCAATGAATGCATACTTTTGTGGATTTGCGTGACAGATCTAATTTCTTCTCTTGTAGCAAGTAAAGAGAAATGGCTATTCAAAAATTGTAAATATTTGAAATAAGAGTATAATATAGAGAAAAGAGAAATTCATGCGTAATAACGTATTGTGACAAATAGAATAAAGCAATGAACATTAGAAGGGCCAATTAAAGCAATTATTGCTGAGCTCTATACAAAATAATTCTCCTGTATTAGAACAATAATAAAGGATCGGTTTTATGTAATAATTTATTCGCTTTTACGTAAAAAATAAATTTGTAAAAAATTTACAAGATTTGTTTTGTAATTAATAATACATAAGTTACATGAAGAATTTCTCAATATCCGCGAAATATTTTATAAATATTTATAGAGTTGGACCTTCTAGTGTAAAAAAGCGTAAAAACAATTTACAAGGAAGCTATAAGTGCTTCATATTAGTTATGTAATTATATATAGCTATGTAAGTATTACAAAAGTATCAATTGTTTACTTTAAATGCGACCAATACGGCATTTAACATTCTGAGGTTTAGCGTTTTATTTATTTTCTTTTTATAGAGAACATCAATATAATCACTTATTTATAAAATTGATTTCTTTATTGTTGCAGTACTTTTTTCATTACTGTTACTTATTGTGCTTAATGCTACATGTTAACCAAAATTTACTACAAATGATTAAAAAATCGAATTATAAAATGTCGCGGACCTCAGAAGGTTAGACGTGAGCATCAATTTGTTAAATACTCTCTACAAACTATTAGATTATAATTTATATCTTCCATTTTTCATATCTAATTCACTCTATAAAGTATTAAACTCTGTGTATTATACTGAGTATTATACTGCCAAGTAATATAGTTGAAGAACTTGTATTTTTCATTGTTCTAATCGTGGGTCTGCTTGTAAATTTTCATAAAATACGGAATATTTCTCTTTCGACGACATCATGTGTGTGCACACATCATAATATACATATATATATATATAGTAATCTATTACTATAACCCAATGATATTTTAATTATTGATTTTTAGACGAGTTTAAAAATCGATTTTGTCTGATGGAAAAATCGGTTTTGGTCAAATCCGTCGAAAAAATCTGTTATCCGAAAAACAATGAAGTAGTTGCGAAATACTTTGTATACAAAACAAGATGTGCATATGAAATCTAAAAAGTACAAGATATTGCTCTTTTGCGTAGTTATTTTTTCAAACAATGGTTGCAATTTTATGATAGAAAATATGATTTTATTTTTAGAAGCATAAGACAATCTAGTATACTAAATACAAGTCGAGAATGATAATATGAAAATATAAAAGTACAGACTTTAACTTATTCTGGAGTTCTTTAACTTGTAATTTCGAATTTGATTATTAGATTGAAAACTTTGAAACTTTCTTGAATCTCTATATGCAAATGATAGTTCTGCTTTATTATATGTCATTTTATCCAAATATAATGCGCTATAAATGCATTTTATATGATTTTATAGTTTCTATTTGCTCATAAAAAAAGAAGTAAAAAAATGATCTTTTATTCTTAAGAGTTTTAAACGTTGCATATATATTATGTTTGAACAAAATAAAAAGATAAATATCTCTATACTATTCCACATTTTAATATTAAAGAAAGATATATATATAAAACATACAAAGCCCCATATACATCAGGAGGCACCAAAGTTTATTTCGCAAGATAACAGACATTAGAACGTGTAGAAAAACGTAATACTAATAGCAATATCTTACATATAAATGATGCCTTTCCACATAAATTATATATATATATATATATATATATATATATATATATATATATATATATATATATATTTATATTTATATTTATAAATGTATATATACACATATATATACATATATATATATACAGACATATACATACACATATACACATTTGGCAAATGCCAATAGGAAAATAAATACGTAAATAAACTTTTGAAGCTATGTCTCTGTAACCGATTTAAAATTTACGCTTTATTAATTAAAAAGTAGAAAAGTCGTATTTGTTTAAGTTAGCTTTTTTATTTTCCTGAATAATAAAACCGACTTAACCCATTCCTTAACGTAAATTATGCTTTTGTGTTCAGTTGGTGTTAACAGTTGGTTAATTACATTATCGAAGTATTGTAAATAATAAAAATGTAATAAAAATAATAAAAATAATTAATTTCTAATACTTTCTTTAAAAAAGAAATAAAGTATTTCTATCATTTTAGCAAAGCACTCGAATTATATCATGCAAACTGTGTACGACATGCAAATTGCTTACCTATCGAAGGTATATTGATATGAAGAGCTTTTGCGAACTTCACGTATGTCCGTCCCAGTTCATGAACGCAGATTTGAAGAACGTCACTAATGTCGATAAGCATATCTGCATATGAGCTGTTAAGGATTTAAAACTTGACGCTTGTTTTGTGTCGTTGTCATACACATGATTCAATGATGAATAATTTAATCATATTAACAAAAAGTATGCAAATTTTAAAAATGATTTAAACAGACCAATAATTGGAATTCATTAAATATTAATGAAATTGAATACAAAGGATACGTGCAGTTTTCTCTGTACGACAAGTGATATATACACAGGCAGCTTGATTGTGAGCTTGCTTTCTACCACGCGTCAGATGGTAATTCAAAGCCATTTTGTAGAAGCCCATAGCTATGTCAACACAGTAAGATTGTAAGCTGCAATAAAAATGTCAGAGATTTGTGAGTGAAATTATATAATGGAAAATTTTTTTGTCTTTCATTGTGGATATATTAGAAAGAGAGAGAGTTATGTACTCACTGTAGCTGTGCACAAAGTTGTGTTATACCTCTCCGAGCATTTTGTAGAGTAATCCCTCTAGATTCTTTTCCATTGACATGATAAGCTATGAACAAAGGATATCTTATATGCCTTATCAAAGAATAGAGTACATTATCGTGTTAATGAAATATATTTACCTGCACCAAAACCTGTGGCACCACCTGTACTGTCGCTAGCAACAAACTGACCATATGCTACCATATGACCTGATGGTGTTTCTTCGAAAGTTGTTTCACTGACAATAAGTTGATCTTCTACTACATTACCACAGCTTTTACAAACTGCATCTCCACGTGCTGGATCAGTATCGATATTGGTGGATCCACAAGCAGGACATTTAATCGCAGACATCTATTACAACAATATATATATATATATATATATATATATATATATATATGAAATATTTTGCTAAAGAAATACTTATTATTTAAATATATTATATTAAAAAATGTTGCCTATTAAGAATATTAATATAACGAGAAAAACATCACTCCATTTCCACATGTAACAATTGTCATATGTGATATTGACACAATGTTAACATATAAAATATTTCCAAATATCATACATCCTCCCTTTTATTAATACACATATTGCGTTAGAAATATAAATTAAATTAATTGCGATATAAATTTTACTTAATAATTATACGTTATACACATAATTATACAAATTAGTTATTGAAAATGGCAACAAACAAATTTTATGAAATCTAAGTAAATAAATATTCTATTGCATCACGTACCTTTGGCAGTTGTGTATAAACAAATATAACAATGTTAGTCGCAGTGTTAAAGGTCTACAGGAGTCGCAGACAAATCCTGAGTTGACTTTGAAGATCTCGTGCGGGGAGAGCCCGAAGCTTCTGCTTCTGTGTTAAGTTTATGTCCATCCACACAAGCGTATTGTTCGCGCGGACGCAAGAGCAGGAAGATTGGTGCTGCGTTCGGGGGGATGCTATTTAACGCTATGAGCATCCTCTGTCCTTGTTCAACTTTCAGAAACACATGACAGACACACTCATAGTACTAATATCGAATTCGGTTGCTTGCACTAGTGTGCACTGAGTGCGCACTAAGGCTTGTTCATAGTATGTTATTATATTTAAAAATTGTCTTAAATAATTCTCAAATAAATTCTCAAATATTTTTAACCATAATATGATATGTATAACATCCGTACGAATCATTTTATTAGTTAAAATGTTTTTAAATATGTATTTAAGACACGATCTTAAATATAAGAATGTACTGTAAACAAGCCTTAATGCGCACTCAGTGCGCACTAGTGCAAGCTACCGAATTCGCTATTAGGCTGCGTTCCGAAATTCACTGCCAGTACTGAAATTCTATAGTATATGTGACATGAACTATAGATTTTCAGTACTAGAAGTAAATTTCGGAACGTAGCCTAGGCTGCGTTCAGATTCCAACCCGGGTGTATTCTATTACTAGAAGTGCTATAGTATATGTAACATATACTATAGTGTTTCTAGTAATAGAGTGCACTCGGATGAAGAATCTGAACGCATCCCTAAATAGCGTCTCCCCGAAAGTGTACACTTTCCGTAATATCTGCACTCATCAAAGTTTGTCTCATATATATTATATTCACTCACCAAACAATTTTTTATATCTTTCTTACGTTAGTACTAAGGATGTTACAGAGCCCGATTTTTTAAGAGCGTTAGGCTTTTAAAAAATTTTAATTAAAATATAGACTCGTACTATATCTCAACATAATGTTCACTCATAATATTTAGATCATTTTTTTTTACATTTTTTCCCCAAAAATTCTTTATAGCACCATTAGGATTATTTTCTTGATTATGAATATCATAATTATATTACGATTTTCTCTGTAATTTGCTCAAAATTTGACCATACACCAAAGTTAGTTTCGGGTCCTCCGCGAGATGTCTCTACTATGACCCCTTGTCTAGAGACCCTAGATATAAGAGACTGGCCTCCAGCAGAGAAAAACCTGAAAGCGGCCATGCCATACGTTTTGGCGGTTACACGACATTTTCCCGAAAACTAGATGGAAAAATGTTGGTACCAACAAAACTTTACCGGCAGCGTCTGAAAATGGGTGTAGGGAAGGGAGCGGTGCACTTGGACACGGTGCATTTGGACACAGCCAATCACAGCACCGTGTGATTAGAGACATTTGTAGGGTCCCTTGGAACAGCGACTTGTGATTGGACTGTGTCCAATTGCCCCGTGTCCAACTGATATACACCCGTAGGGAACGTAGTTCCATCTAAAAAATGGGTGCAGATAGTGCATCGAACAGCGTGAAAATCAGTGTCGACCAAAACGTATGGCGTGGCCGCTCTCAGGTTTCTCTCTAGTAAAAGCTTCCAAGTCATCACGATTGGTGTCACTGTAGTGAAATTTTATCGGTAAAATAGAGTATCTGTAATGTATTTTTTAGATTGCTGGATAGATAGTAATCTAACATATCGTAGCGAAGTTTAATTCGTAAGGTGGCGCTTCTTTATCAGTCCTCTACATTACCGATAATGCAACATCTATGCAATCGTAAACAATTCATGTATGTACTCCGGTGCGTTTGAAATGTTAGTCGTATATTTTCTAATTAAAGTGCGCAATTAAAGTAACACGCTAAATTTCTCAACGAAAAACGATACATTTGAAACATCAGCCATGCCGTGTGAAATGATAACTCTGCAGCTTGGCCAATGCGGCAATCAAAGTAATTTTATTACACATGTTGCTTGCACCAAAAACTTCTTTCTGATTTAGTAAATTCTAATTTGCAAACTTATTGTTAATCAATTTGTGATCGATTATTTCTCAAATTTCTTCAATTTTCACAATCATTCATCCAGTAAAATTAAGTCTACACATATCTATGAGCTCAACATAATATTGCAACTTTATGTACAAACTAAAAATATTTAATAGGATTTAAGGCAAGTCTGTGCTATCTTCATGGATATATTTCACTTATTTTAATAGTTGGGTTTGAGTTTTGGAAAAGACTATGTGCAGAACATGGTATTAGCCCAGAAGGAATCTTAGAAGATTATGCAACGGAAGGAACTGATAGAAAGGATGTGTTTTTTTATCAATCAGATGATGAACATTATATACCACGAGCTGTATTGCTGGATTTGGAACCCAGAGTAATCCATACCATCATGAACTCCCCATATTCAAAGGTATTTGTATTTTATCATTACTGTTATATTATTTATACTCTAAGTTTTATGTAGAAGTTAAAAGTTTTCAATTGTTTGTTACAAGCTGTACAATCCTGAAAATATCTATTTATCAAAAGATGGTGGTGGAGCTGGTAATAATTGGGCATCAGGATACCACCAGGGTGAAAAGTTACAGGAAGAAATCTTTGATATATTAGATAGAGAAGCTGATGGTAGTGATAGCTTGGAGGTAATCTCTATTATAGTTTTCCACACATTAATCTTATTTTCATATTTTGTCAATATTTATTATGATTTTCATATCATGTCTGTGAAGCAGAGAATCGTTTCCTTTGAATTTTTAGGGTTTTGTCTTGTGCCATTCTATAGCAGGAGGTACAGGTTCTGGCATGGGATCCTTCATGTTAGAAACTCTAGCGGATAGATTTCCTAAAAAGTTAATTGAGACATACAGTGTTTTTCCAAATCAAGATGAGATCAGGTAAATATTTACTTAATTTTAAATCTTTTGTATGTTTAACTCAGACATGTACATATTATAATGTTACAGCGATGTTGTAGTACAGCCATACAATTCATTATTAACTTTAAAGAGGCTAACTCAATGCGCCGATTGTGTAGTCGTTCTTGACAACACTGCTTTAAACAGAATTGCCTCAGACAGATTGCATATTCAGAATCCTAGCTTCACGCAAATTAATAAGCTTGTCTCGACAATAATGTCTGTCAGTACCACCACTCTAAGATATCCTTCGTATATGAATAATGATTTAGTTGGTTTAATCGCACCACTCATACCAACTCCTCGTTTACATTTCTTAATGACTGGTTACACGCCGCTTACAACGGATCAAGAGGTAATTAATTTAATAAGTTTAAATATATATATACAGAGTGTCTAAAAAATCATGCGAACTGTTATAGTGAACAAGCTATATATAAAATTGCATTTATGATTAAAACTATAAATGTGTACGAATATTAAATTTTACTTAACAGGGTGCGTCTGTGAGGAAAACATCTGTTCTGGATGTGATGCGACGGTTGTTACAACCGAAAAATATGATGGTTTCTACAGCATTAGATAGAAATACATCTCATTGCTATATATCTATCTTGAACATAATACAGGTAATTGTTTAAGAACAATATTACATTTGAGTTGAGTTTATCGCGCGAAATTCTTAATGCAAATGTATAATGAAACTGTAACTTCTTTTGGAATTGATAACATCTACTTATAAATGTACAAGCATAAATTAAATAAGTACATAACAAAATATTAATGATATATTTTTTATAGGGTGAAGTGGATCCAACACAAGTGCACAAATCGTTACAAAGGATTAGAGAGCGAAAACTCGCACAGTTTATTCCTTGGGGTCCAGCTAGTATCCAAGTAGCTCTTTCAAGGAAATCGCCTTATATACAAAGCACGCATCGTGTGTCTGGTTTAATGTTAGCCAATCACACTAACATATCATCGGCAAGTATCGATTACTTAACTATTATTTATCCAATTATAAAGATTTGATATTAAAATACGATATATAAAACTAAATGTGATAAAACGTTTCAGCTGTTTGACAGAGCTTTACAACAATATGATAAACTACGTAAACGTGAAGCATTCTTGGAACAATTTCGCAAAGAGAAAATGTTTGAAGACAATCTTGACGAGCTGGACAATTCGCGAGAGGTCGTAGAGTATTTAGTAAAGGAATACCAAGCAGCAACTCGGGATGATTACCTCAGTTGGAGTCCAAGCAAGCCAGACACATAAAATGTCTAAAATGTATGAGTATTTAGTTTTTCGTATTTAGTTCAGTTAAAATTATTCAATACTATGAAATATTCCAAGCATATATAATATTGTGGGAAACTCGTGGAATTCATAGAATTCAGATGTTTTTTCTAACATTCTAATTCTCACTCTATATTGTAACATTTTCTGTATATTTGTTGTGCAGATAACAAGGATTGTATCTCCTAAAATCTCACGCCGCAATAATGCTTGGAAAGAAAAAGATACTTTAGTGGAACAAACCATAAGGAAATTGTCTGAGAAACTGAGGTTCAAAAATCGCAGAATCTCCATTTAGTGTGGCAGTATAGATCATAGCATACAAAAATTTCAGCAGTAAACGAATTGATCAATCACAATCGAGAATCTCAACATAATAGTCTTCTAAGTAATGTTATTTAATGATAACATTCCAAGTAATGTGATCGGTTAATTCGCTTATTACTTACATTCTACTGTTTGTTTTTTCCTGTGTCATTCGCTTGAAATTACTCCGTGAATTCTACTTAATCAGTGTCACACAGCATCGTATCGCGCATGTCGCAGTTCCATACGTTAGCCATCGTTCACTTCACATTGATCAAAATTTTTACGCCGTTTAATTTAATATTTTTTTTTATTTGCGTACATAATTAGGGGGTAGAGTGGCGATCGTAATGAAACCCGTGTGACCAGGTAACGAGTGAGAATGAGTAACTGTAAGGAGCTTTTCTTCTTGTCTTTCTTTTTCGTTTTTCTGTGCCATGTCCTCATTCGAATGCTATAATTGGAAAATTATATATCTTTCAGTTTTTGATGTTATTTGATTCTTATTATCTGATTCTTATTTCTATCTAATGTTATTTTCAATGCCTTTCGAAATCCCGTCCGTTAGCAAATCTCACTTAGAAGAGATATATAAAACAAAGCAAGATAAATCCTATTTTTTGTACATTTCAATATTTTAATGAATTCAGTATATAGATCTTGCATACACATTGACATGCTAGTTTCTAGTGCCATATTTAACACCAAGCATATAGTCACTCAACTTTGGATTTGATTCATCCAAAATGAATCACTAACAAATAAAAACAAAGTGTACAAACCTTGTATTTCAAGCACTCCAAATCCAGGACCGGTAAAGATTTATAGTGAACATTAACTTCTCTTTGTAAACATTCGTATGTATTTAATTCTACAAATCCCTCAAGTGCAAGTTTTGTACAAGTACGTTGAACTTGCTCAATGCAAGGAGAAAAGAAACAGAGTTTTCCACCTATTGGATAATAGCTATTATATATTATATGTAATGCAGAATGTAACTCTTACAAAATTCTATGTGATGCGCAAATCACATCTTTAAGTACACTCATGTTATAATCTTTACCACACCATAACATTTATATGGATATTAAAATATTTTTATCATAAAAGATGTCTAATTGGGCCATATTAAATAGTACTGTTTATAGAAATTGCATTGAAAGGATTCTCACCTGTCTTTTTTAAAGCAACAATAGCATGTTCTATAGCTAACCATGGATGTGGAAGATCCAGAAAGACTGCATCAACTTTGTGCCTTAGTTCTTCTCCAAATCCTTCCAAACAAACATCCTTCTCCTTTACAGTCACATAATCACATAGACCATGTTTATCAAACTCCACGCTAGCAAGAGAAACACGTTGTTCGTGAAAATCAAAAGTATACAAATGACCACTTGGGCGTATTGTTCGAATCAACGAATGAGATAAAGAACCACTGCCTGTTCCTGAAACAGATTATAAAAGAAATATATTGTTTATTTGAATCAGTTTATTAAATTGACTTAAATGCACTAAAACAAATATACCTGTTTCAATAACTATACTTCCTGGTTTAAGTTCCATTAAATATATAATGAGACTAATATCTGGACTATAAATAATTTGTGTTCTATGTGGCAGCGTCAGTGTCCAAAGCTCTGGTGTTGGTTGCAACACATATGCCCAGCCTCGAGATAGTTCCACTTTTGATCCATATCTTTGTCCAACAAGTGAGAAGACCTTCAGTGCACCGTATACAGTTTGAAATACATTGTCGATTATCTCACCCTTCTTGTTCAATATTTTCGCCTTTACTTCTAGCGAGTGCATATTGTTTGGTTTCAAATATAAGATAACAACGTCTCCTTCTTCGATAATTTCCTTGCTTTTATTGAAACTCATTTTTTTCACGTGTGAATATTGAATTTTATTTTACTTATCTTTAATATTTATCTATACATAAAACCAAATTGTCGTTTATTTGGTTTTGTCAACTTTTAATCGAATATTTTGATATTACTAAGACATATTGCGCGTATGATGTTTCCATATCTTATTTATTTACTTATTATTTTGTTTTATATTTTCAACCTTTATTTCATAAAACTGTAATCATTCCTGTCGACTGATATGTACACACACGTGGTTAAAATTGATATAGGCGGCAATTTTTATTTTCGTATTTTGTCCCATCAAAGTGGCAAAGAAAAATACAACATGTAATTTGAATAAATTAATTTACTAATAATATTTTTAATACGTATTATATGTCGCCTACTAATATATGATATTATTATTTTACTCGAATATTTGGTCTGTTCCTTTCAGCTGCACTGCTGAACTGGTGCAATAAGTTAAGGTGAGACAAATATATGTTTTCTCACTCTAATGCAGAATTCACACCGCGTCCAATGTCCGATGTACTACGTCCGATATCCAATAGGAGAACAGCTTTCTAATAGAGGATTCAATTCTCCATTGGAAAGCTATTCTTTTATTGGATATCGAATGTCGTACGTCGGACATCGAACGCAATGTGAATTCTGCATAAGGGTGCTATTTCACGTGTCGTACGATAAGCTTTTCAGATACGTTTATTGGTTGGCGAATAGAGTATTTCTAGGTTCTCTGTTCGTCAACCAATGAACGTATCCAAAAAGCTTGTCGTACGCCACGTGAAATATCAGCCTAATGTAGGATTCACACCGCGTCAATGTCCGACGTACGACGTTCGATATCCAATAGGAGAACAGCTTTCTAATGCAGGATTCATACCGCGTCAATGTCCAATGTACGACGTCCGATATCCAATAGGAGAATAGCTTTTTAATGGAGAGTTGAATTCTCTATTAGAAAGCTATTAGTTCTATTAGTTCTTTTATTGGATATCGGACGTCATACGTTGGACATCGGACGCGGTATGAATCCTGCATAATATAGAATTCAATTCTCCTTTGGAAAGCTATTCTTTCATTGGATATCGGATGTCGTATGTCGGACATCGGATACGATGTGAATCCTGCATAACTTATTGCACCAGTTTAGCAGTGCAGCTGAAAAGAACAGACCAATTATTAAACATTATCATATCACACTACATTTTATGGAGGTTAGGGTGCGTTCAAAAAAAAAATTTAGAGTGCAACCGTTGAATGATTATTAGGGCGAATTCATAACTTGGCAGAAAAGTAGAAAACAGAAAAACAAAAGCCAATCAGAGCGAGTACTATCAATTTTCTGCTCAATGAGCTGAGTCGAGAGAGATATGGGGTGCATTCGGGGAGCACACTACTAACGTTACCGCATTCTTCTATCTTTAACGCTTCTTAGATATACAACAAGGATAAAATGACACAATAGCACTGATAGCGCTAATAGCGAGCTCTCCTAACGCACCTCATAGGTGCGTGCATGGTCTGTTTTTTTAGCTGCACTGCTGAACTGGTGCAATAAGTTAAAATGAGATAAGTATATATTTTCTCACTTCAAGTTATTGCACTAGTTCAGCAATACAGCTGAAAAAACAGACAAATTGTTTAGCAAAGAAAGACATCTATGATAGTGAGCGTTTCTGAATGCAGCCATACGTAGCTGCGTTCCGAAATTCATTGCGAGTACTGAAAATCTATTAGCGTATTCGACTAGCCCAGGGTTAATCGCTCCGAGAGCGATTAATAACATCATAAGTCTCTACTAGCCAATCATAAAGCTTATAAGTACTTGTTCGACTAATAAACATAGGCTGAATAACCCAGAGTGAATTAATCCAGAGCCAGTAGAACATGCTATTAGATAGCCTGTTAGCAATCTAGGTTGCGTTCTAAAACGTTCTTTTTAGGAAATTTTACTCGATACTCTATAATATATGTAACGTGAACTATAGTTATTGAGTAAATTTTCCTCAAAAAGAACGTTTTGGAATGCAACCCTAGTTTAGTAGACATCTGTATGTTATGCTGCGTTCGGAAATACACTGTGTGCACACTACTAGATAGCCGTTGGAGTGAGCGAAATATAAAAGTGAGATAAAAAGAGAGGGAGAGTACTCAAGTGACGTTTCCGAACGCAGCCTTAAGGGACGTCTACATTGGAAGTAAGCAGTAAGAAGTAGGAAGTAAGAATAAAAATTGACCAATCATAGTTGATTATCTTCTCACATTCGACTGTGGTTGGTCAATTTCTTACTCTTACTTCCTACTTCTTGCTATTTACTTCTAATGTAGACGTCCCTTTACATATACTATAGAATTTCAGTACTGGTAGTGAATTTCAGAACGTAGCCGTAAATAGGTATGTGGAGACGACTTAAATTTTCGCGGGCAAATAAACATGATTTGGGAGCTCAGCTCCTTTTGAATCCGAGGAGCAAATCGAGGAGCTCGATTTACTCTGAAAATATAAATACAAACGCAGATATGATGATATGGAAGCAGATAAATGTAAATTGCCGAATAATTTTCTAGATAAAAGAGCAATCCAACGTCTTCGATTTACAATATCGAACGCAGCTACTATAAGTATGCGTTCCGAGTTGCGCATGAAGCGCGTATTTCCTACAGTATACGTGATATAAACTACAGATAAATGCGCGCATATGCATAACACGAATGCAGCCTAAAACACACCATATTGACATTCGTATGTCCCTCTATCGTAGTAATAAAGGGTGCGTTCCGTTTCTACGCATGATGCGCATGAAGCGCAACGTTAGAGTGACAGAGATACGAGAATAAGATAAAATGAGAGGGAAAGCACTCGGGTTTTCGAACCTAGGTTAGGTTAGTTCTCGAACGCATGGACTGTCTCAGCTCCGAAGTAATGCAGTCCATGCGCTCTCATGCGTTCGAGAATTAATCTAACCTAGGTTCGAGAACCTTACACGAGTGCTCTCCCTCTCATTTTATCTTACTCTCGTATTTCTGTTACTCTAACGTTGCATGCATATCATGCGTGGAAACGGAACGCACTCAATGTATTGCAAGAAAAATTTGAATAATTACGTTATTCCACGAAAATATACAACACAAACGTATTTTTATTAAAACAATTCGTAAACTCCATCGTTTAAAACAGTATAAATCTAATTAACTTGTTTATATTTTCTTATGTACATAAATACATTAGTAATATTCTTTCATTTATATACATATTTCATATATTTTACATCTTTTGAATGCAGTTTCTTGTGCAACTGTGTGCTATATATCCTCATTGTTTTCACAAAACAAATTTATTATAAACGAACAAATGTGGCTAACATCTTCAAGTACACATCTATAGTTTAACATAGCATACATCCAGTACTATAATTGCTCACTGAGCACTCAGCTCTTATTTATTAATTTAGTTGGTGTGTATTTTCAAATTTGATCAAAATTTAAAAGTATAAATTGATCAAATCCGAAAGTTCACTGAGTTCTTAGTAAATGAAGTTAGAACTGAATTCACCCATAAAAAGCTTGTCAAGAATCAATTGTCTGTTAAATTTAATCTATTTTTTTGGCGCCTCGTGTTTTCCAAGCAACCAGCAGATTCCATGAAAAGTATAAAGAGAAACAATGAACCTGCGAGGCTAAAAGGATAAAAGCATACCAAAGTACGCCATATGGTAAACCCTGAAAAATAAATAAAATAAAAAATAAATGGATATATAGCTGATATCTTTAAAATGTTTTGAAAAACAAAATAAGCAAACAATTAGAATTGCTTCTTTAAAAGCAATCTTGTAAAAATACAGAAAAACATAATCATAAGTCTAAAATTCATACCTGCCACAAATGAATATCCTCTGATTTTCCAACAGTTAAATATGTCCAAACATCCTTAAAATAATATACAACGGCATAAGACAATGGACCATATCCTAGTAAGACGATACTTATCATATATTTCTGTAATGTCTTGATTCTATTCTTTTTTATTGCTGAGAGAGCAAGAAAAGATAAAATCATGCTAGTGCACCATATATATTCCCACCACAATGGCTGAAATAAAAAAAATATAGCCTATTAAATAATTAAATAATAATTAAATAATTAAATAATAATTAAATAATTAAATAATATTAATATTTTAATAATTATTGTTTAAAAAAGCATTAATATGCATTTTATTATATTATATTCAAAATAAAACTATAAAATTTGAAATAACAGATTAAAATAAATGTCCAAGTAAATCAAATTAAGATATTTTTTGTTACATACCTGTGGTATTTGTAACTCCTCTATTTCTAAAATAAATATGTCCACACGATCTAATATATCTGCAGACAGCTTCGCGAGCATAACAAAAAATAATAGATAATGGAAAAATATACAGCACTTCAGTCTTGATTTATTAGTCACACTGAAATAAAGTATATTTTATAAGATAAGACAAAAATAAAGTATAATAGAATATAGTATTTTAATAAATAATAATAGTAGTAAATTTGATATATATCCAGACAGCATAAAATCTCCTGAGGATGTCCTAAGGACGAAGAAATATCCTCAGGACTTCCTTAGGATATACTCTGGATGTTCCCTGGACATATGTGCTGTTAGAGTATATTTATAAAAATTGAATGTTTATTTTCTCAATATATAATTGTGCATAATTCAGGAATGACATTAACATATTATATTTAGCTATTTGAGTCTATATTTGATTTATTCAATATATCTAAAAATTGTAATAGTTTTCACTCAATGCTGCGCTTTTTGTGGCTTAATAAGTCTATATATATCAGATTACATATATTTAATGTAAACAATATGTCACAGAATAACCACAATCAGCCAAGTGTAAGTTAACACTATCATGCCATTAATCAATGAGATTCTCTCTGTATCTTACAATTAGTCTTTGAAAAATGACTCCACACTTCTGTTAAGAGTTTCTTACCTGACTTGGTAATGTGTCGCAATTTTCTGTCTGTGGTTATAATCACTACCGTCTGTTCCTAGAGCTTGAGAGATTGTCACTTTTGAAGCCATTATTGGGACTATTTGTATGGAAGCCTTGATGTCACAAGCACGAGATGTAAAATCTCTCAATTCAAGAACTGAACCCCGAGGCAACTCGTGCGGCGGCTCAACACCGAATATTTAACTATTTTTAAACTTTCCACAGCCCGGTAGGATTGCTGGCCTCGTGGCTCGGGACTGCTCGGGAGATACCGAATACTACCGAGTGCGCTGGACGTGTTGGTCTCGTGAAGCTTCGTTTTCAACAACGCTGTTCGTGTAAACGTAAAAAAGAAATATTCAAAATTCAGCCATCCAACAGTGAGCCTTCTCGAAGTGTCTAACTTCAGACGCGACGATAAGCGGCATGCGCGCGCCACTGAAAAGATAGGTTATAGCGCGATTGTGTCTCGTTGATCATTCCTCCTGTCTTCGTTGATTTTGTCGAAGGTACTTAGGGTAACTGTTACGAATTACATAACAAATAAAAACGTAATAATACTTGTATGTTTTAGATTATGATTAGGTCGGATTATCCCTCTGCACTTGTTCTTTACTTTAATTCTCAATGGGATTAAGGAACAGCTGATTAGTGTTTAAGAGCTATCATGTTATTAGGTGTTCAATCATGGAAAATTTGTCGACACATATCATGCAGCTTTACGTCAAGATATTCTGTTGCTATGGTGCATATACAATATTCAGACAAATTTACAAAACTTACTTATGTTCTCTTTGCTTGTGTTTTCTAAAGAAACTTTAATTCTAGTGCTCTGGCTCTCAGAGACTCAAGTCAACAAAAGCTGCATATATGGAAGAACCAATTCCATTTCCTGTTGACAAAACTGTTGTACATAAAATCAAGAAAGATCCATGTCAAGTACAAGTGCCAGAATGGTCACCTATAACAGTTGATTACACTAAACTTCATGAGCATTATCTTAAGTTGTCAAAGATTAGATTAACATGTAAGTATATTATACATTATTGGATGTACCAATCTGTTACAATTAGCTAGGAGCAAAAATAGAAAGGCTTCTCTTTTAATTTTCTAATTAACATATACTTTCTAGAGATTTCTAGATATTTAATCATTATACACTGATCGTCAACTTGATTGTCATTATCTAAATATTAGTTATCTAAAGATTTATTATCGTAATTTAAGGATTTAGCTTCCTATTATTAAATTGATTTTTTTTTATTGTAGCTCTTGTCGTAACCACAACTATGGCTGGATATGCATTGGCTCCTGCACCATTTGATATTTATACATTTACCATGTGTTCTCTTGGCACAGGCTTAGTCTCTGCTGCAGCAAATGCAATTAATCAATTTTTTGAGGTTCCTTTTGATGCACAAATGTCACGAACAAAAAATCGTGTATTAGTACGTGGCCATCTGACGTAAGTTCTTTTTAGACATTTTTTTACTTTAAAGATAAGATTTCTAATAAATAATGTGGCAATTGAATATGTTGTATCAGATCCGTTCAAGCAGTAGCATTTGCAGCTGTTTCTGGTATCGTTGGATTATCTGTACTTTACTGTCAAGTGAACGGTGTGACAGCAACATTGGGTGCTATTAATCTTGTTTTATACACGCTCATTTACACCCCTATGAAACGTATTAGTATTGCCAATACCTGGGTTGGCTCTGTTGGTGAGTACACTTTCCATAATATCAATACATTTATTATTAAAGTTTATTTAAGGGATTTTTCCCATAAACTATGTTGTATTTGTTTTCATCTAATTGTATAGAATAGATTTAGTTTGTGGATATAGAAAAAGTTATTACTATCACACGCATATGACATTAGTAGTGAGCATGTTAATGGCAACTACATATAAATTTTCTTTTTCCATTATAGTAGGAGCTATACCTCCGCTTATGGGCTGGGCGGGTTGCACCGGTAGTATCTTGATGCCAGGTGCTTGGATTATGTCCGGTATTTTATATGCGTGGCAATTTCCACACTTCAACGCTTTGTCGTGGAATTTAAGACCGGACTATTCACGCGCTGGTTATCGAATGATGGCCGTTACAAATCCAAATTTATGTCGTAAAACTACTGTGAGGTACACCGTGGCTCTGACGGGTCTGTGTTACTTAGCACCTGTATTGGACGTGACGAATTGGTGGTTTGCATTAGCTTCGACACCACTCAACGCGTACTTCCTTTATCTAGGTAAAACAAGCGATATTGAAATTAATCGCTGAAAATAATCGTACACTTGTCAAGATTCTCAATATTTTTTCGGTGTTTAAGTAATGTTCATTGGTCATTTTAGCTTGGAAATTCAATAATCACTCGGACAGCGCTAATTCTAGAAAATTATTCCGATTTTCACTGCTCCATCTACCTCTGTTGATGATGTTGATGCTCACAAGTAAGAAATATTGGAGTATTACGAAAAAACACGAGGACAAAATTGTGTCTCATAACGAATCGACGAGAAAGGATTTAGTGACAGTTTTGACCGCTATCGCTCCGGCAACTTCATCCGTGTAATCATAGGTTTGCTGTTGGACTTGATAGTACAAATGAATGTAAAAATCTCGTTAGACTCAAAAGTTATGAGATTTTTACGTTATCTCGTGTTAGAGAATTTTGTAAAATACAATACAAAACCTGTGGATCTAATTATGCGTTAGATCAAATATTTATATAGTCAATAAATTAGTGTCAGATGTTCTTATTTGACGCCAAAGATACGAAGTGAGAGACAAAAGTTCTAAAATATTATGTACAGTTTTATTTAAAATATTTTAACATAACGTCATATCACGTTTTGGATTTCCTTGCGCTTCGCCTCAAAGTCTTTCGCTATCTGTCTCCTGGTTTTGGTTAGATTTCTGTGCCCGACACAGTCTAGATTTTCTACATAGCATTTGGTCCTACAGCATTGCCGACATAATTTATATTCGCATTTAAAACCCTGCAATTTGAAACCATGCATTATAATCTCTAAAATGCTACGTTATTTGAAAAGATATTGACGATTTTTATTAATAAATAAGAAAAGTTATGAGAAGATATAACTCAACGGACCAGAGGATTCGGACAATCGTGGCATCGGTCTGAACTTCTTTTAGGAGCCGAGGTCGTTCTATTCGGCCGTCGTGCTATTCGCTTAAGCTTCTTCGAGCGTTTTCGCGATATTTCGTTTCCATCCTCATCCTGATATTTCCTTTTCTGAGGTGCGCCTTCCTGAAAAAATTTTCATTCTCAAACTAATGTATCTCTCGCCGTCGGTAGAATGATTTACCTGTAATTTATGCATATGCTCTTGCGGCGGCTCACGCACATAAGGTTGACACAGCCACGGTGGTAACACCAAATTATAATCTGCAAGTTTCACAGGACATATTGTACATACGAATGGAATAAACGCGGATAATATTTCTTCAGACGTCAAGTTTCATTACCGGTTTGTTCTTTCCGCCACATCAAACGCCCCTCATGATACGGCAGATAACGATCCCTCAAGGCATACGCAACAGTCCTGAAGGCCTCCATAGTAGAGTTCGTGGCCAGGTTCTCTCTTTCCTCTTGATTTTCTGCTAAACAAAGTCTACTCTCTAGTTAAAAGAATGCCGCGCGCACGAGTGGAACTTGAAAAGTCACGACTGCTTCCATTGGAATTGCGATCGTTTTGCCGTCTACTACGATCGGAATTTGATATACGTACACGTGATGAAACAGTTTGAATAGGTGACCGCGGACGTACGAGGCCGGCGCCGGATGTTGCTCCACGAGGTCCAAATACTCCAGAGCAGGCTCCCAACAAGCGGGGTAACGAGACTCGAATATGTATGGATTGTAAAGATTTCCCTCCGCAGACATCACACCCTGCACTCGGGTTTCTTCGATGCACCGTTGCAAGTCTTGCATACACTGTATGTTACCGTTGGCAATCACAGGTATTTCCACAGCGTCCCTAATATAACAAAATGACAAATCAATCGCTTGATAATTATACTTTTGCAGCTTGCAAACTTGGTAGTTTTCATCGTATAAATAAAACGATAATAATAATTATTAAAGTCATAGGAAGAGAATCGAATTTTTCCTGTTTACTTAACATCAGCCACATCGAATGAAAATAAGAACGAATACTCACCTGACGGCTTTAATGTGCTCCCAAGATGCCAATCCAGTCAAAGGACCCTTTTGCTCCCTCGTACGTCCGTGGACGGTAAGCAAGCTAGCACCTGCATTCTCCAACATACAGGCGTATTCTACGGTACGACTTATTTCTGGAAACACTCGTAATTTGCACGTGACAGGTACGCGTAGTCCATGCTTCAAGGTAGATACTGTGCGGGAAATTAATTTATTGTGTCATTGTTTTACAGCATTAGGAAATCAAAACGAAGTGCTGGCGATGATAACGCATTAAGCCATGCGAGATTCATAATTGCAGAATAACTTCATTATCGATTAAGAATCTCTGCGTATTTTAAGGCTGAGATACAACGATTGCTTCTTTAAGGATGAATGGCTCAACGTGTTTTTGCGCAGAACTCTTCGATGAAAGCAGATGAAAGCATACCGATTCTCTGTAATAAATCCCAGTCGTCCTGCAAGAAAGCCCCGTAACGTCCACGCTTCGCAATCGCCTGTGGGCAACCGATATTGATGTCCACCGCGTCGCAATACGGTTCGGCCAAGCGTGCAGCTTCCAATAGCACTTCCGGATCACTGCCACAAAACTGAAAAACAATACATCGCTTGTGCATAAGGTAAATTTTGTCTCTCTCAGCAATATCGTCCTCTGGCGTATTCTCCTACATTGAAAATAGTTCAAAATGTAGATAAAAGGATGATAAAAGTCAATTGCAGATCTAATTTATATATATTTATAATATACTATACACGCTCGCATACAAATGCAATATAATAATATCGGAATGATATTGTACTTGCACTGCTAAACCTGTGTTTAGCTCTCTCTCTCTTAATCCTCTTTCCTATATTTTTTATTTAAATTATAAAATTTGTAATTGATTTGTATATAATTTGTACTATTATATATATTTATATAATTTAATATATAATATATAAATATATATATAAATATATATATGTGTGTGTGTGTGTGTTTGTGTAACATATATAATATATTAATATAAAAAATATATAAAAATAATATATTTAATAATTAAATAAAAAATAAGACGATCATTTACTTAATTTTTATTTTTAAATTATATTTTTAATTTAAATCTGAAAAAGCCTTACGATTATTTGATTGATTAAATAGTTACTCGTATGAGGAAAAAAGCACATGCAAAGATCTTTTTATGATATTACAGAAAATTTCGGCGCAAAGCCATACCTGTACGACCAACGGACGATCCTCGCTGGTGCTAGCGAGAGCCTCACGTCTGTACTTCGGGTCCCGGCAGAACACGGAGGAGTGCAGCATCGGCGTGTAGCAGAGCTCAGCGCCGTGTCGCCTGCTGAGCAATCTCCACGCCAGCTCGCTCGCGTCTACCATCGGCGCGACTATGCAGCGCGGTGAGCCCAGGTTCTGCCAAACGTTGGTCTTCTCCTGCACGGTAACGTCCTGCAGCACGTAGGGTGACTCGGACATGGTCTCTGACATTATCTGCGCAAACACAAAGTTGAACGTCGTTACTCTCATACGCGGCTATGAGACACTACTTAATTTATTCATGTGTGTAAAGAAGCCTTTGTCGAGGAAATGTATCGCGTGTCACAGCGCAATAATGTTACTTCCAGGCACTACCCGCTCAAGCGACACCAATTGCACTGTGTGTCGCGCGACTTGGGACGGCCACATCGTACGGCTTGGTACCGTCTTCTTGCCAATCGTTAAAGCGGCCAGTCCCCGTGTTCTTTAGACGTTCCATAAACGTGTCTTCGCCGCTGTGTAATATAGCCGCTTCGCTAGATATGCATATGTATATCAGTCGATATACTTCCGATGAAAGAATCGCTTTCTCGATTACGCGATAGAGTAGAACCGTACAGTTAGATCGTCGATATATGAGATATCGTGCGCAAAATTACAAGATTTTCGCTGCGCAAAATTACAAGAGCATTTATCTCGACGAATATCTTCGAGCCAATTTCCGCTTATCCGTTTGCCTGGGAATAACGTCGCCCAGACGTTCCACTATTGACGAGCCAAAAACGCCCAGCACGTCCCAAACGTGTAATTTAATGTGTGCTTTTGAAATCCTACAAGTCGTCGTTATTTGAAACTTGCTTCAGATGAGATACACTCAGATTTTTATTTGGAGTTAGATGTGGGTTTTTCGATTGAACCGCGATTGCAAATGTATAATGTCGCATCGGAATTATGAAAATATAATTAAATTTTCTTCAATTTAACAATTGATTTAAACAAATGTTTCAATTCAATTAATTAATGATTTATTTGAGCAAAATTAACCAAAGAATGTATGATTGACGATTAATTTCAACGAATTTAATTATAAATTCCTTTCAATTCTCTTCGCTCATATCAGTCGTCAATTGAACAATTTTTAACTAAATTCGTTGAAACTAATTGTCAATCGAACAGTTTTCGATTGAATTTGTTGAAATCAATTGTCAATTAAACCATCTTCAATTGAATTGGTTCATATTAACCATCAATTAAACACAAAAGTTAATTTAAAAAATAATTACTTGCAATTCTGTGTCACATATATTATATGATTCAAATAAAAAATTCAAATATAATTCTAAGGATCGTCAAAAAATTAACAGACTTCATTTGAACCAGAGTTGAGTGATTACACATGAATTATGATACTAGATTAGACGACGTAAACTATATATACGCAGTCGGCCTCACGCCCGTTCCTCGTTTTGCGCGTTCACTTGACGCGAAACGTCTCTTGATGAGATGTCATTTGTGTAGATAATAAGTAAACCATGAATGTTTAAACAACATACAGTTTGTTTAAAAATTGATTAAGTTCATATTTTTATTTAATCTTTAGAATCTCCTAACATAAATTTATAGACGTTTGTTTCTTAAACAAATTAAAATCTACAGAATTCTTTGGTTGCATTTTTATATACAGAGAGTTAAATCTATCATTCCGTCATATAATTAAGTGAAAAAATTTCACGCAATTTATATTTTTTAATCATTATATTTATAATTAATATTCAAAACAGATACAGTATATAATTGTTTCATAATTTAATTATTCTTTTTTTGTATATTTTAATATAATTTGCAATATTTTACATAATTTACATTGTCTACGTGAAAAACGACCGTATATACATTATAGAAAATGCATAAATAATCTGCGTAGACTTGAAGTCTACAATCCTACTTGAAACTCATTTCAAGTGAAATACTAAGATCTGAAGTCAGAGTTAGATTTATGTTTTTCAATCACATTAAGTATAGATATTTAGAGTTAGATTTGAGTTTTTTATTTAATTAATATACACGAATGTAATATACACGACATTACATTTATAATCACGATTTAGCCAATAAACTCACATCTAACTCTAAATTAAAATCTAAATATCTCATCTGAGACAAGTTTCAAGTAACAACTATTAATTCTAGAACTCTAAGTACCGAAAAATTACGTTAATCTTAAGCATAGGTAAGTTCTACTCAGCGCATTTTTATTTGCTCGTAACTTCCAGAAAACTAATTAAAATTACATATTCGGCGTAGAAAATATCGAGAAATATGAAACTATTAATGTTTTTGCGATTCAATGAAGTTGCAAGAAATTTTAATGAAACGCAAAATATATGCTCTCATAAGAACAATAACGTTTAAAAAGTTATTCTGAGTAAATTTTATTCATATTAAAGTTCTAGGATTAATATAGAAAGTATATAAAAAGTATACGTTACATTATATGCCTGAGACATACTGGACGATTTTGATTCGTAAATTATATATATACCAGGTGTAGAAGTATGAAACCGGAATTCCCCTATAAATGGTGCCAGCGTTCAGTTTAGTGACCGTAAGACCGCTACTGCCGCGCTATTATATTCTCCTAACAGCTGACGAATATTGTCAACAAACATAACCCCAACTTTCATTCTCTAGTATATTTTTGTATAACCTTAAACATGTCACGTTTCGAGCCTACTAACTATGATTTGCGGACAGCATTGATTTTCTGTTATCATTTAAAGAAAACTGCTGCAGAATCACATCGAATGCTTGTCGAAGCTTACGGTGAATATGCTCTTGGTAAATCTCAGTGTTTCGAGTGGTTTAAAAAATTCAAAAGTGGTGATTTTGACGTGAGGAACGAAGAACTATGAACTATGAACTATGAACTATGAACTGCTGAAACCTGGTCAAACCGTCAATACTAATCGCTACCAACAACAAATGATCGATTTAAATCGAACATTGACTAAAAAACGACCAGAATATGCAAAAAGGCAACACAATGTCATTTTGCTCCATGATAATGCCCCATCACATACAGCAAAACGGGTCAAGGAAACGATCGAGTCGTTCAGTTGGGAATTACTACCGCATGCGGCTTATTCTCCAGACTTGGCTCCGTCCGATTATCACCTGTTCGCATCGCTAGGACACGCTCTCGCTAACCAACGCTTCGATTCGTATGAAAATGTGGAAAAATGGCTAGATAACTGGTTCGCTTCAAAAGATGAAAAGTTTTTTTGGCACGGCATTCATAAACTGCCAGAGAGGTGGGAAAAATGTGTTCAAAACAGTGGAAATTATTTTGAATAAAGTATTATTTATCACTTTCGAACAACAGACGTCTTATTTGTATAAAAAAATTCCGGTTTCATACTTCTACACCTGATATATATATCTCACTTGAAACAAGTTTCAAGTAATGACTATTAATACAGATCTTAGGCCGTTATTCATAGTCAGATCTTATATTTAAGACCGTTTTAAGTTTACCTTCAGAAATTCGATAGCCAATAAAATGATCCGTACAATATCTGAAGATGAACTTAAGACGATCTTAAATATAAGAACCGATTATGAATAACAGCCTTAGACTCGTATTAATAATCGTTGTCTCACCTGAAATACTCAGATCTGAATTTAGAGATAGACTTGAATTCTTTTTATCCGAATCATATATGCGACATTGACCTGTGATTGCGATTCAGCGACGAAGGTCACATCTAATTCTAAATTGAAATCTGAATATCTTAGCTGAAGCAAGTTTCAAGCAACGACTATCAACAGACTTTGAAGATGCCACATACGAGCGTTGACGAAGTGCCAAGCGTTATTGAAAATTTCGATAGATTTTGATCTATTTCATTGAAGTACACAGACGAGACACATCCTGTATACCGCGGATCTTAGGATTTCGGCGGGTGTGGGCGGCCTTATGTTCTTAAAGCAACACCTGAGTCGGCACAGCGCCTGGGAACGTTACTCGCGTAACGGTGGGAAGGCGAAGTGACCCGAGCGCGACGGCGACCTGGGCGTGGCGGGCTTGGAGAACTCCGATTCCGGTATCGGCGACAGTTGGGCAGTCTGCGTGATGTGCGAGCCGATTTTGAAGCGCGGCCTTTTCCTGGAGAAGGTGTTCCGACGGGTGCGGAGGTGCGCCTGAGTGCGCTTCGGCATCGACGCCACAGGCGGCAACGGGCCTAGGACGGAGATATCCCCGGCGCTCGGAGGCACTCTGATCTTGTGAATGACACGTGGCGGAAGATCCAAGGCGGGTAGCCTCGTGGGCGGACGTGGGTCCGGCAGTGACGTTAGCTCCGTCGTCGGCGGCGACGGCGACGTCGAGCTGACAACGTGCTCCTCGATCGCGGGCGCGACGTCCAGGGGGCTGTTCGCCACCGGGATCACCTTGTTGCCGCAGGGCCGGGCGACCGTCGAGGTCGTCGATCTCTGTCTCGACGAGCCTTTCCTCCAACGGGCCTGCAGGAACGTCTGTATCCTCCTCATCGTGCCGCAGGAGCGCTTCGCGGCCTCCGGATGGTCGCCAGTGCGACGCTTCCGGCTGGCGTTCTTCTCGTGCCTGCCGTTCTCGGGATTCATGATGGAGAAGCAGCAAGACACCGGCGAGGGTGTGGAGGATTTCGCGTCCGGAGACTCCGCATGGTTTCTTAACTCTGCCGTCGTCTGCGAGGAGACCTCAATGGAGGTCTCGGTGGTGCGCGAATCATATGAGAAGCAGAGGCGAAAATTCCGGTTGCTCCTCGTGGCGGACAATCTCGAACGGGCGTCTTTACCGGCGTTCGTCGTCTCGACATCGCGTTCCTCATGCGTGGAGCACACGAACACGTCTGTCGTAGCCGCGGTGGCACTGTCCCGGAACATGGAGCCGTTCTCGCAGAAACGATAGAGACCCCGCGTAGCCGTCACATCGACGTCTCGGTCGTCGGCGGCGCAGTGGAGCGCGCCGCAAGGCCCGGGGAACGACGTCGTCCTGGAGCCGGCGGTGATGGCGGCGTCACTGCTCTTTTCCCGCTTGCTGCGCACGTATTCATACGTGGTAAGGCCGAGGCAGGCGATATAGCCGTGGAAAAAGCACAGGTGTATGAGGAGAACCGCGGCGATCGCCGAGAGGACGCCGATAACGGTGACGAGGACGAGCGAGCCGGCGCCAGGCACTGGCAACGACGACGCCGTGGCGTTGTTCATCGTGCCGTTGCCGCTGCTATCACCTCCCCACTCGACGACGCGCGCATTAACCAGCACCAGCTCGCACAGAGCAAGCCCGGCGACCGCGAGCGCGGCCACGAGCGTCGATACCAGGCAGGCCAGGAAGGCCGGATAGTTACGGCTGCCGATGCAATTGTTCAGCCACTTGCAGTGGTGGTCGAAGCGCGGCACACACTTGTTGCAGATGGAGCAGTGCTTGGTGCGCCGGCCGTGCGTAGTGATGTTGCACAGGTGGCACCGGCCGTTCTCGATCACGTGCCGGTGCCTGCTACGGTCGAATTCGGGCACAACCTCGCCGGCCGGCCGTGCACGCACCTCCGGATCGGCCGGATCCAGCAGCAGCACCGTCAGATGGGCCAACCCGTGCACCAGGAACAACGCGGTGAATATGGACGAGAGGACGAGACGGAGGTCCGGCAACAACAACGACGGCGTCGTCAGCACGGCGAAGGTGCCGGAGATCACGATCACCAGCAGCACCCAGCCGACTACCTGCTGCGGGTGCAGCGGCAGCTGCAGGCCGTTGACGCGCCGGAATCGCCTGTGCTCCGGCGGCACGTGCAGCGTCTCCTGCAAGGAGCAGCACCGGTGAATCGCGCGATTCGCCGCACGGCTCTTGCTTAGCATTCCCGGTGGTCTCTGCCTCCTCTTCCCTCGCGTTTTCGGGCCTGTTGAGTTGCCAAGTGCCTTCTCAGTACTCTCGATACTGATCTATCGGATCCGTGGCCGACCTGGATCCTGTGATCGTTCTTGTTCTGGTCCTCGAGTTCTTTGCGCGAACTTCCGTCAGAATTTATTACAGCCGTCGAACTCTCATCAGTAGGTACCGTTCAATTGTACACGTATAATGACTAAGAGATAGTCACAGTTTCATCCCAAATCACGCATATACATACATATATTTCTCTCTTGAACGCACGAGTACGCGCTTGTTTGCTCGCAAAATGTGAATAAGGAATTAATATGTCGGAAATCTCTGAACATTGTTCCACGAACGTGGGGAGCGTTGGAAATTATACTCTGTAAATCCTCTTACTTCTGTGTGTGTGGTTGTTAACTGTTAATTCCAAATGGACTCTTTGAATCTTGTCCCTCCTTTTCTTTTCTTTCCTTTGTCTTCCACTTGGATGTCTCTTTGCTCTTCAATCATCTTAAGAAGCTATGGTCCTTTGTCGCTTATCGTTCACTTTCGCTGACGCGATCTCTCGCTTTCTTTTCTTCTCTTTCTCTCTGTTTCGTACGAACTTTCAGTTTATTCTCCGCGCGTCTCTGCGCCAATTATCGATAATCCTCAATCGTTTAGCCCGAACGTGTGGTTCACTGCGACAGTAAAGTTTGCAAAAGGTGACCTGCTTCGGGAAGGAGGATCGGCGTTATGATGATGATGTTATTAGGTCTCCGTGTCCGTGACCGAAATTCGCCCTTCGTCTAACAGAGTCCGAATCCTGACGCCTTTCCCTCCAGTCGTTCTCCCTGTTGTCGTTCCGTCGCGCGGCACGGCTGCAGGTGATTTCGGGCGCGTCATTCTTCGTCATTCCGTCACACCTCGTCTTCCACACGAAGCGACTCGCGGACGAAGAGACGCGAAGTGCTGCTCGAAGTCCGAACGTCCGCAACCGGCGACGCCTAGGGCGAATCGATAAGTCGCGGTTGCCGCGGAAACCGAATTCAGGGGCGCGACTTGCCCGAAGACGCATGCGGCGAGTTGCTGCGCGAGCGTGCGCGAATACGCCTCGTTTATCGCGGCTTTCGCATTGTCTCATCGCGCGAGATTCGCGATCGAAACCAGCTGGGAGCAACCTGTACCTTCAGCGAAACATAATCGAGCAACTCGAGAATCGGGTCCGATCAGCTGATCGAAAAGTATATGCCAACGCGATTTTTATTTAATCCTGATAGAGTGGCATACGAAACTTCTAGGCCTGTGGTTTTAAGTTTATGATCGGGATATATAAGATTGCGTTTATAAGTTTGATTTAATCTTAAAGAAAACTTAATCTAAAGAAATCTTTAGAATTCTTAATGTAAAGAAAACCAATAGCTTAGAAACAAATTTTATAAAATAAAATTTTAACATATTGAAATAAAAATTCTGGTTTATAAGTTTGATTTAATCTTAAGAAAACTTAATCTAAAGAAATCTTTAGAATTCTTAATCTAAAGGAAACTAATAGCTTAAAAACAAATTTTATCAAATAAAGTTTTAATATAATGAAATAAAAATTTTGATTGCACATACGCATACAAAATTTTTTCCCTTTGTTCTCTTCTATCTAAAAAATCTTACATTCTAAAGTCTTATCGTTTAAAAATATATATTCTGAAAGTTAGAAAAAAGTTAAACATTTTTTTAATCAGCAGTTAACTAAATTCAAAATTTCAAGAGCTTAATTTTCTTAATTTTCACAAGAAATTTATTATTTTTACTTTTAACTTATAATTTTTACATGTAAAGGAATTCAATAAACAAAGTTGACTTAACGTCACAACAACCTTATAATAAAAAAAAAGTATACTTTTTTTATTTTCACATCTATTTCATAATATCATCCCATTTTTCAAGACCTTATCTTTTGTACTGTATTAAACAAAACTTTATGCTCTTTGAACAGCTTATTTTTTCCTAATGATTATGAATATATTATAAGAAATATATTTATTAATATTTCTAACATGTATAAATGCAATTCTTGTATTTAATATTGAATTTTTTGCCCAAAACAAAACCCCACCTTCCTACCTTTTTCCTTATACTAACGAGGATAATTGTTATTTTTGACGGGGGCACACAATCGTTATTGTGGTCGCTGATACCTAATGATATCAACAAAGCAGTAAAGACGACAAAAATGCTTATTTATCAAATATATATTCGAATTGAACAGATGTATCGCAAGAAACCAGAAACTAACCTCACTTTCTGTTATCCGATTTCCTCGAGCAGCAGACGGGACGGGTCGAAGCGCCAACATTCTTCACTTCTGGCTAACACATTATTGCACGTTACTCACGATTTGATCCGTCTGTATTTGCAGTTATTCGTTCGGTGAGACGTTCAAAAATGCAGGAATCAACATCGACATACGAATATACGTCACCACTCGCAGACGGAGGTGCACTTGCGCGCCGCGCAATGTGGCGGCGCGATCTGCAAACTTAATTTAATATATTCGCGAGATTTCGTCGATATTGCAGAACGTTATGCGATACCGACACAGTCACAATGAACTTATGAATTGCGCCATCGAATTCCACGAAGCGTAGGTGCATTTTTCTATCTTCTCGAACGTCCCCGGTATCAACCAATCGCAGTAAGGGATGATAGCCAAGATCGAATGTCAAATACGAAACATCGGCTGAATTTCGAACATAACTCGGAAGGTCTTCATTGGACCTCATATGGGAGATCACTTTGTGGTTCACCGTGGTTCACTGTGATTCATGCGTGTACCTGCAATTATGTGCATCGCAGCAAAAGCTCGCTGATTGAGTCTTCAGTTTTACGTAAAGTCGCGAGAGATTTGATAAACGTGAGAGATTTGTTGTACATTAGATTGTGAAATTCAAGGTGAGTGTCCTTCAAGCAGCTCGTCATTTTCCACGCATACGTATGTATCCACAGAACTTATTTCACTTTGCTTTTCAAGACAACGTTACCCGGAATAAAATACCTTGTTTGAGTATATTTCTCAATCTATTGAGAACTTTCTGATGAGAATATTGTATACTCAGAATGGCAGGGGTATTCGACATTGAATTGCATGATGGAGATGCTACCAATCAAGATGAATCAGATGACGATGTGATTGAACACAGAGAGGTAAAATATATCTCTATAATAAGTTGTATTTATAGCAGTAATATTTAACACTGCATTGATTTCCCTTAGGAGGAATATAATCATGCTGCAACTGTAAGCGCTATATTAGAGTAAGCATTTTGCTTATCTTCAATCTCACAGTAACTTCCTTTTAATTTTACTAAAAAAAACATGATAATTATATTTCAGATCTGAAAATTTGGAGAGAGTCCAATTGTCAGAGCAGAATGTAAATCCTGGCCAGGACAAAGCTGGCCCACAAGATTTTGAATTATGTAAGATTCTGGGAGAAGGTGGTTATGGAAAGGTCTTCCAAGTGAGAAAAGTCACTGGAAAAGACAAAGGCAGCATCTTTGCTATGAAAGTACTGCGCAAAGCATCAATTATAAGAAATCAGAAGGATACTGCTCACACCAAAGCTGAGAGAAACATCCTGGAGGCTGTGAAGCATCCATTCATTGTGAATCTTATGTATGCTTTTCAAACTGGTGGTAAATTATATTTGATCTTGGAGTACCTATGTGGCGGTGAACTTTTCACATACCTTGATCGAGAAGGGATCTTCTTGGAGGATACAGCCTGCTTCTATTTGTCTGAAATTATACTGGCACTGCAACACCTTCACAATCAAGGAATCATATATAGAGATTTGAAGCCAGAGAACATTTTGCTAGATGGTGAAGGCCACGTTAAACTGACAGACTTTGGTCTCTGCAAGGAACACATACAGGAAGGCACAGTGACGCACACATTTTGTGGAACGATAGAATACATGGCTCCAGAGATTTTGACCAGGAGCGGCCACGGTAAAGCTGTGGATTGGTGGAGTCTAGGTGCATTGATGTTCGACATGCTTACAGGAATGCCGCCGTTCACCGGTGACGATCGAAGAAGAACTATCGAGAAGATCTTACGAGGGAAATTGAGTCTTCCGCAATACTTGACGCCTGACGCCAGGGATCTTATCCGGAAGCTGCTAAAGAGGCAAGTCGTGCAGAGACTGGGCTCCGGTCCCGAGGATGCCGAGCAGATCAAGAACCACAACTTCTTCAAGCACATCAACTGGCAGGATGTGATCGCGCGGAAGCTGGATCCGCCGTTCAAGCCGTCGCTGAAGAGCGCAGATGACACCTCTCAATTTGACGAACAGTTCACGGCTACCGTGCCGGTCGACTCGCCGGTGGAAAGTACACTCAGTGAATCCGCGAACATGATATTTCAGGGCTTCACGTATGTAGCGCCGAGCGTTTTGGAGGAAATGTACGCACAGCCAAAGGTCGTGAACGCCAGGAGCCCGCGTAGGGGACTGTTGAGCACAGGTTTCGGCGTAGCCACCGGTCTCCACGGCTTTTCATCGCCGAGATCGGCGCTGGACGTTCATCTGCGCCCGTCGTTAGACTTCCAACAGCACAGGCATCATATGCCCGTGGGACCCAACAGCGTGGAAGACGCCGAGATGGTGGATCTCGGTCAACTGTCGAATCGTTTATAGTGCCGCGATGCGTCGCGCGCAAACCATTAGCTTCTTTTCCGATGCAAACTAGGAATGAAAGAAACATATATATGTATAGTTGCCTGTAAACGTTTGTTCGCCGAATCGCTGTTCACGTTCATTGCTCGTGCCGATGTAGACGAACAGATGTATTTAGAGGATTCAACATGTATAGTAAAAAGCAGCAAAAGTTTGGGTGGTTTCCTTGATATCGCGACGTCAGCCTGAACGCGATCTTACTTAGGCCTTTGACAATTTCAGGACGGCTTACGCTCGTTTGCGATGCGAGGAAGCGAATAGCATATGTTTCGTCGCTATGTAAATAAACGTGGGTGATTAAGAGCAAGTACATTCTTTAGAAGACAGACACAAGTCTATTTCTATAATTCTGGTTCAAGTCTGGTTCTATAATTTATTTTAACTGAAGTTTAACTCGTTAAAGACTCGTTTAGACAAACTTGCATAATCACATATTGCATATGCATAAAGAAATCAACTAACCATAATTCGTACAGTAAAAGGATGCCTCTAATATTAGACACATTTTACACATTAGATTAGTTAATTTACTTGTGCATATGAATAATGTAAGTGTGTAAGTTTGTCTGGATAAGCCTTTAATGGGTTAGATTTTGATTAAAGTAAGTTGTGAATTTAGACCTTAGAATAACTTCAACCAAGTTCTGGTTAAACTAACGGTTAAGCTGCAAAGTTTCAACTGACATTTTGAACTTCTCTCTCTCAATTTCTTTTTCAACAGCAATCTCTCTCGGTTGAAACCTTCCTATTTAACCATCCATTCATTTAATCAGTTTGGTTGAAGTCATATTTACAGACTAAGAGTACTCAAACAAGCTTAGTGTTCATACCGCTTTAAGTTGCATTAAGTGATGACTGTAAACTGAAATCTGTATGCAGCAGTAAGCTTAAGTCAAATCAAAGAAGTTCATACAAAAAAAATCATAATGTAACAAGGTCATGATGTGTGCAGATATTTTATTATTTATAAGGTAGTATGAAGTGTATAACAAATATTTTATAATAAGAATATTAGAAAAAAACATTTAATCTGATAAGATATTAATTTAACAACTTAAATATTTTTATTCATTTTTTTATTATAAAATATTTGACAAACTTATATACGATAATGTGCCTGATGCAAAATCGCTTTTTATTACGTTCCGATTTATTTGTGCATTGACTCAAGTTATATGCAGACTTCAGTTTATGACCAGCGCTCAACGTAACTCTTTCTTCTTCTTCGGAAATTGATCCGGAGCTTTTGCTCCTTTAATCAGTCAAACGTAACTTAAAGTGCTATGGACGTTCTTGCGTGGAGGCTCTAAATACGAAACACTTATGAGCAGGATGCAGTTCAAATCCGATGGCTACGCGTCGCAGTAGTATGAATATATCACGGTCATAGATGGCCAATGATAGCGTAGTTGACTAGTAAACTAGACGATTTTTAATAGTATAATTTGGTTTCGTATAAAATGACGCATACTTCAAACAGATATTAGAATCCACAAATTTGTAAAGAAATAATTATAAGGAAGTGCGACTCAAAAACGAATAACTTTTGACGAAGAGAATGTCGCGGCGAGAAGTATTTTTGTTTCGAGAATAAAGTCGCGATTAGGTGGAATTAGGTTTCTTGATTTTTTTCTTTTCCTTGATTAAATCGAGACATTGTTATCTTTTCTGTGCAATAACTTCTTATTTCCGATGTCTCGGAGACAGTTTGCGACCAGTTTATTTTAAGTGAAACACTGCGCACTTCGAGCGCGAGAATGTACTCTTCTAATCTCCATTAAGTAATTTTCTTTGCTTTCCACGCAATAGATATCGAAGTATATACTTATGTAAGAGACACACGCTCGGTTCTTGCGACGTCGATTCTTATGATGTGAATATTACATTCCAGTACACGCTTGATGTACCTTGGATGTTACGATAACTTGGATTCACACTCGTACAAGATGAGAGACGTCAGGTGTGCTAATGTAAGTGTTAGGAGCGAGTAAGTCCGATTATCTCGTTCCTCTATTACTAAGCAATCAATTCCATTGAATGTAGTTTGGTTTATGCAGCAGAGTGAAACAACCATTCTGGAATAAAATCGAAAAGAAGAAAAGCGAACGATTATTGTATCATATATATGTATGTAAGAGTGAAAAATTAATTCTGACGATTGTGTTTAGAGCAACAGTGTATGTTGCATTTTATGGAGCGGCATTTCTCTCGTAGGAATAATCACGACTGCTAATGTCATTTTCGGTAGTGTAGAGAAGTATGAGATGTTTTCAATCGTATAACATATAGTGAGTGTATTCTCTTTTTATCTATATACATCGAGTCTCGTTGCTAAATTGTAATTAACTGATGGATTAATTGTACATATATAACTGCCAATCCGGATTCTACTTCCCAAAGTTATAGTGTCATATCACATATAGAAGATATCCATTTGCAAGAAACGATCACGCAAACGATCACGCAAACAGATTTCAAAGTGCCCAAGTGTTCAAAAGCCGACTGGTGGCTAGTATTACATATAATTTACATTCGTACGTTAATATATATAAAAAAATGTATAAGCAAAAAAAAAAAAACGGATTGTTACTAGCTAACCGTGTTATAGAAACAGAAATATAGAGTGAGAGAAATTATTACTTTTTAAGACCTACTTAAGCGATGCGCGCCTTACAAGTTAACGATCTGGCCAATATCTGTAATATACGTATATTATCGATGGTCCCATGTATCATCTCGATGAGAAAGGCATGTATACGTTGCACTAAAGCTATATACGATTATAAGAATACCAATAATAATAATAATATATTAACGCATTTCATTGATTTGTAAAAATGATATAAGATGCATGCTATATTATAATAAAACTTACGCAGCGAATTAATGTTTGTATTACGGGTCGTTATTAGGAATATATTTCATTGTCATTGAATAAAATGCTGCAATTTATTCAATCAATTTGATTAATATGTATGCGCACAAACCGCAATATCGATCTGCATTATCTACTTGTAATGTCACAAGAATTTATCCACCTGAAAAGTTGCCTGTACCATTCTAAAAAAATGTTTGATTCATAATTAAATTACAAAATGCATTTTTAGATTGTTAACATAATAAGTATATTTTTATTATTACATGTTTTTTCTCACAAGAGAAAATATGTGTATCACATATCAACATCTTACAGATCTTGCAAAAATAATTATTAACGGTGCATGTACTTTCTCTTGACCTCGCTATGTCGCAAGTTCTCTCTTTCCTTATCTTCGATTTTAATTTTCTTCCTATCATGGTGACCCTTGTCTCTATCATGTTTAGCACTGCTGTTCTTTTCCTTATGTTTGTGCTTGTGCGTATCGCTATGTTTGCTTTTGTGCTTGTGAGTCTTATGAGTACGTTTTTCTTTAGAGACTGACTTTTTTCTTTTCTTTCTATCCTTTACATCGGAATGTTCCGAATCACTACTACTGCTGCTGCTGCTGCTGCTGCTGCTATCACTATCGCTATCATTACTACTGCTGCTGCCGCTACTATTATCGCTGTTATTGCTCAAGTGTTTGCTACTGCTCGTTTTCTTCTTTTTCAATCTTCTTTTTCCTTTCTTGCGATTTTTCTTTTCCAGTAGTTGCAGTTTCCTGTAATCCATAATTATAAGGATAAGCAATCTATGAATAAAAATACAATATTTTAAATATTTTTTATCGCCAGTGAACGAGAGAAGGAGCATTATGATTAGACAATTCAATCTTTTAACTTACAATAATAATTTCTTCTTTTCTTTCTTTGACAGAGATTTAAGAAATGACAATTCTGATTGTTCTTCATCTTCAGAAACCATAAGATCCTCGTTCTCTGGAACTTGTAAGTGCTGTTGTGCATCTAGTGCAGATCTGTGCAGCAAAAAAATAATTAAAAATTTTAATATTATTATTATTATTAAGTATATCTGTATAAGTATATAATACACTTATACATTAGCAACACATATGATGTAAACTTACTTTTTCAAAGCCAAACCATCTTCTCGCATCTGTTGTACGAGTGTCATAGTGTCTGGGGCAGATGGTACCTGTGAATTGTTTGCCATTACAACACTCATTGCTTGGCTATACAGAGGACACTCTTTATCTAAAAATAAATTGTTATTATAGTTTTTCCCATTGCATTTCACTATAGTACTTTAATGGATATATGTTAGATTACCTGTATTTATATGTCCCCACTTGTGGCATTTAATGCAGCGTACATTCCTTACTTGTATGCCAAATGGTTGATCTCGAATTTCGCTGTCACCTTTACAATAACTTTCTCTTGGAGCATTATATTTTCGTTGCCATTCAAACTTATATTCAGGCTCGTTATCCTCTTTCTCCCTTTCTTTCTTTGCTCCAGGAGGTGGCTCATACATGAAGTTTACGCTGAGTTTATCCTTGCTTTCTTTACTAAGTAGCGCTCTGAAAAGAAACTTTTTATTAGAAATAAATCTTCTTGCTTTCTTTTTCTCTCAATAAGATATTTTGAAAGTTACTTGTTGTTGTGAAGATCTTGTTCCTTCTCATATTGAACTCGTAGTTCCTCCTGTTTTTTCTTGTAAGCTTCTGCTTGCTGTTCTGCCATCCATACCTGAAATAAATATGTGCTTCAATAAAACTGTATATTAAATATAATATATAATTGTCGAGTTATGTTTTGATTTTATCTGTAAAAAGATTACTTCAAAAAGATTCTTTTATCATTTTAAAAACACACGATTTACACACAATCTTTTAAATATAATAAAAAGATAAAAAAATTGAGGTATATTTAGATATTTTAGAGGTTAGATTTGGTTTTCGTACTCGCTTCAAATTATCTCGTGACGCTGGATGAAAGAATTTCTTGCACATGTAATTATTGAATCCCTTTCCCATTTTCACAAATTGAGAGTTTTCTTCCGCGCAATTTCAAGTAGCAATTTTATAAATGCGTCCCAACAAACACGTAATTACGCACTCGTATCCGCCATTACAAATTTTTTCGCTTGCCACAACGCACGTCAGATTCACTTTGATAAGCATAAAAAACAGAGTGACGTCATTGCGCGTTCACAAAACGTACATGATCGTGATTTTATTGTGCAACACAATATTTTTGTGCAACGCGTAAACATTTTATAAGTATTATATACATCTATACACACATAGGAACAATATTCCTAATATTTTCTTTATTTGCAAATAAAAAAGATTGACACATAGCATAACCTCACAAACGACACGACTACGTCTATCTTATCTAATCAAAATCAACGTTTATATGAAGGGTATAATTAAGATTTATATACGATGTTTCCATCATATTTCACGTAATTGTAATATTAAGTCTGGAGAAAGAAAAAAGTGTGCGCTTTCGTGACATAACCTAAAAAAATTACCTCGCCGTGATTCCAACGCTCAGTTTGACGTGTGTCAGACCTCGTCGCGGAGTTGTGTTACGAATCGCTCGGGTGTCGTGAGCTGGACGAAAATTGCCTCTAAACGCCATGAAGATCAATGAGAAAAATATGGTGGCATTCGCGACCTCTGCGACGCCAGTGGACCGCGAAGGCTGGTTGAACAAACGCGGCGAGATGAATCGCGGATATCAAAGGCGGTGGTTCGTTCTCAAAGGGAATATACTGTTCTATTTCGACCGTCGCGGTGACAAAGAGCCCGTGGGTATGATTGTGCTCGAAGGCTGTACGATTGAATTAGCAGAAGACGAGGAGCAGTTTGGCTTCAAGATAGTTTTTCATGGACCAAACAACAGAAGCTACGCTTTAGCAGCAGAGTCTCAGGTAAAAGTATAAATGTTCTTTTCCTTTCAATATTTGGCTTGGAAGTGATGAAACTCGCTGCATGTATCACTCAATGATGAATAGGCAGATTGGTTGACTAAATAAATGATAGCGTTCAGCAAAAGAAACTGCTTTGCTGATGTTGTAAAATTGATGAATCTAATTACACTCTCAATCTTGGCTAAATCTGAGAACATACACCAAATCAGATTCACTAATTCTGTAACAGTTGCAAAGCAGTTCTATCTATTGAATGTAGCCATTGATATGAATATATTTATACATGCACAGTTATGCTTATCAAAGGCTGCATTCAGCAGAGGAAGCTGCTTCACCATTGTTGCAAAACTAAATCTAATGATGTATAATATTGGTTGAATCTGAGAGCATTTACCAATTAGATTTATAAGTTTAGAGTTATAAGGATATCAGTTAAATTTTCCTCAATGTAACAATTGATTAGAACAGATATGTTTCAATTCAATTAAGTGATGATGATTCATTTGATTGATTTGAGTAAAATTAATCAAAAAAATATTTAATTGACAATTTATTTTAATCTATTCAATTAAAAACTCTCTGTTCAATTAACAATTGATTTGAACAAAAGAGAATCAAAGATCATTCAATTAACAGTTGAATTAGCAAATTTAATTAAAGCTTGTTTCATAGATAATTGATACAAGCAAATTTAATCTATTCAATAAGTGTCTGCTCAAGATTATGATTAGTTTTATGAATAATATTCATATATCTGGAGCATTGCAACACATCGGAGATGCCGACGATTGAGAAACGCTAAGCAGGATCTACATAAAGAGGGGAGGAAGGGAGGGACATTAGTCACATTAGTCGTCTGGACAATCTTTGATTGAATTTGCTCATATCAATCGTCAATTAAATGGCCTTTACTTAAATTTGCTAAGTTCAATTATTAATTGAATGCTTTTTAATTTTCTTTGTTTATATCACACAGTCGTCAGTTTAATGATTTTTAATTAAATTCGTCGAAATCAATTATCAGTTGAACAGCTTTCGATTAAATTTGTCGAAATAAATTATCAATTAAACGGTCTTTAATTGAATTGGCTCATATTAATCGTTAATTAAATACAATATAATTAATTAAAAAAAATAACAAATTATTCGCAACTTTACATGAACTCTACATGCAACAACAGTTGCAAAGCAGATTTCTCTGTTGAACTTGGTCAATATTGCTGAACTTAGTCACATAATATTGACATTTAGGAATCTATGGAGCAATGGATGAAGGCATTGGCTTGCGCCAGTTACGATTACATGAAACTTATGGTAACCGAGCTGCAGCGTCAGCTGGATGCTGTAGAGGAAGAGACGGCAACGTCCACACCTGTGCAACAATCGCCTAAAGCACCGCCAAGACAACGACATAATCCTTTCAACCGACCAGATTCGCATCATCGTTCTCAAAGCGTCAGATCGGCGCCTGGTAGGACAGAGAACGTACCCAGAACTAGAATAAGCTTCCGTGAGCTTCACACAGCATATGGCAGGCGAATCCTGGCTGATCTAAATGCATGGAGGCACGCTAGGAAAAACGCGGAAGCACCTCTAATCACTCTGTAACTTTGCACACGTTTTTGTAGATACACTTGATCGAACAATGTGCATAATTCATGAAAGTTACTGACTCCAGGAGTCCACTATACACCTAGCGTTAACGGACGTTAAAAGTTTTTATAAAGAAAATGACGTCATTGTAATCTGTTATATTTAGTATATATAACAAATTACAAATAGTATTTACATATAACATATAGTTTAGTATACGTGTAACAATCTATGTATATATACACGTAAGGATAACATTAATTTATTATACGTTTCGATGAGACCTAACAGTATTTTGCGTAACGAATGAGATCTTCATCTTGTGACTTCGTTCTTGCGCTGCGAACTCCGAAATTACTTCTGAGTTATTCCCGATCGTTACCGTTAAGCGTCAGTGATATAATTAACACAACGAGATTATTTTTGTTAACGTAGCAGAAGAAGTTGTTAGCCACAAATAAAGTAACGTAAGACGAACAGATTTACAAGTTCTTACATATTTGTCAGAGATTATTATAGGGTTAAATGTTTCTTCACCTATCAGCAATGACACCACAATGTTCTTAAGACGTTGTAATCGAGACACAGGAAATGGAAATACTTCGTGAAAACGCAGAGTGTTGAAATTTCAACGCTTCAAGAAGATGTGTATAGTAGTATAACTTAGACGTCGCTAATTTGTACAATTTATTTTTACGCGACATGCACATAAGATCGTAACACACAATGATCACCGGTACCACAATAAATAAATTACTATACTGCGTAAAGAAAAATACATATTACGGGGTGTATATAAATTATTTAAACTTAAAGACGCTTTTCTTTCTCGCGTCCCCGGGTAAATGTCTAGTACCTAACAAAAGACGAGCCTTGTCCTCTTCCTGCGGTGCCGATTCCTCGGGTGGTCCCCTCGGCTTTATTTGCAGTTTTTGTTTGATAGCTTGGCTCAGTATCACGCGCCTGGAGTCACTTTTCATAGCCAAGAGCAAGTCGAGCCACGTCCACGTGACATTGTGGTACTCCAAGGTCGGTATGACTAGTGCGAAGTCGCGCACGTCTTCGAGATTCTTTTCTTTATTTCCCTGTAAAGGCCCGATATTGAAGCTTAAGAAATGATCCCTAAACGGAGAGCAACGGAGGAGAGTTTCTTTTTCAGTTTACGGCTACTGTGATCAAATCAATACCTTGTATGACACGCGAACAGGTACTTCTGGTATCTTGATGTATATGAACAGTTTGTTCTTATCAGCCCGCTCCTTCATCTTCTCCACGTCGTCTCTCCTCTCGATGGGAACGTAAAAGGACGAATCACGTTGCGGCGCCGGTGCTTCCTCTATACCCTCCGGATCCCTCTCGGGGAAGCAGAACTTCAGCATAGTGTTGAAGAACTTCTTCGTCAAACCTGAACAACGTTGAAACGACGTTGTACAATGACATATACATAGTATACGAATCATTCGTTTACCTATCGTAAGAGGCACTACGTTGATTTCGAAGTGCTCCTTCACAGATATACCCGCCACCGGCGCTTTTTCCCTACAGAAGACCCGTAGAGCTCTCTGCCGATCGACAGGCATGTTGCTCTGCAACTCCGTTGGCGTAAGCACCTCCGTATAGATCTGATTCGGCAATAGATTCGTCATCCGCACGTATCCCAGCTCCAGCAGATGCTCCACCGAGTCGTCGGTTTTACTCGTTTTAGTATACAGAAAATTAGTTAAGATAAGGTCAGCAATACCCAGCTGACCGTCCGCGTCCGTCAGTCTCCACTGAGCGTGTTTGAAGCAAATCTCAGCCACTCTGGCCACCGCGGCTGGCTTGTCCTTCAAGGTGGTCGACGCGGCGGCAGGCGCGGTGGTCTCTTTGTAACAGTTCAACATTACGTCCAGTTCCTCCGCCTTAGCGCTGAGCTGTTCCTTACACTCAAAGACGCTCGCTTCCAGCCGTTCCATTTCCGTTAGTAATTCCGGACTGGATTCGTCGCTCAACGCTTTCTGCACCAGATACGTTTCGCGTTCCAACCTTCTCAATTTTGCCACCAAGCAGCGCACCGTATTCTGCAGCTGTTGTATCGGCCTCTTCTGGTCCTCGACGGAATGCAACTGCAGTTGGAATCTCATCCTTTGCAATCTCTCCGAAGCCTCCTTTCGTCTCGGTTCCACGTATAGCAGCAAATTGTTAACTATATCCAAGATCATTGCATATTGCAACGAGTTGGTGCACACGTCCAGATCATGATGCATCAGCGTGAACGCGTCGGCCGCGGATAAGTCCTTTCTCTCCCACGGACTGACTTCCTCTCTGGGAGGCGGCGGCACTTGATCCACGGAGCCTACATCCAAAGTCTGACCGTAACCGACATAGAAGAACTCGCATTTACAACGGGACACTATACGCTGTAATTGATGCTGAGGGCCTCCACCACCTCCCACTGTTTGACTAATCACTCCACCTACACTCTGGCCGGATCCTACCAGCGCTGGGACATCCGGCAAGCCGGCTATGACGGTTGAATCTTTTTCCTAAAACGATGCGATGCTTACTTTCTGCGCAAAATATTTGCCAAGAAGCAACAAGTGACAATGCACATACCTGTATGTTATCCAATGTCAGCCACATGATATTATCATCGATGTTATCATCGATGTTCGCGCTCACAGTGGCGTAATACTGCATACATTCCAATGAGCCGACCCAAGTCGTCTTCGGGACAAGAGACCGCTCCTTCCAGACCGGATGATGAACCCTCTGAAGTATCTCCGCCTTGGCTGCCGAGAGAATCACATAGCCACGGGTCTCAATACCTTTTAACAGCACTTGACTGTTCACCAAAGCAACTGAAAAAAATTCATGTCGTGTGATCAGTATTTACAAACATTTACGATGAGAAACGAGTGACATACTCAGCCAGTTTTTGTGCAATACGTCGTCTTGATGACAGGCCGCTAGTCCACGTAATTGCTGTCCCCTGGTCTGCACCGATAGGTCGTCGCTGAAAGCTACCGGCTTGTTTGTAGCCTCCGCTATCAGCCTTTGCAACATTCCAACTGCTTCGCCTTGTTGTGGCTTCACGGCGGATGAGGGAGTCACCTGGGTGGGTGTGTTCTGTTGGTCGCCCACGGAAGGTCTGGTACGACGGTTTTTGTGTGGTGTCGTGCTGTTGTCTCGGTGAAAACCTTTGAGCGCCGCAGTCGACAGATTCTTTTTGAGTTGCTGGGTCTTTATGAAGGAGTCGAAGAGCGCGAACGCGACGTCACGATTCGTCTTGGTCCAGGCGCCCCTCAGATCATGCACCACTAGTCGATGAATCGGTGTGTCGCCGCTTATACCCACGACCATCGCCTCCCTGCCATAGCTGACCCGGGCGACACTCAAACAGTAACACTTTTCGACCGGCTGACGCAGCGATGCGCTCTCTTCCTCTTCCTGTAAGGCGCTCTTTAACCAGATCTCGGCGTCGCTGAGCTCGCAATTCATGTACACCACGGACCATTCCGCGCGTGGTCGATGTATCAGACCGTCGTCGATCGGATGCAGCGCCAGATTGTGCTCTGAGCTGCAAGCCACTCTGCCGCCGGTCACCTCAAAGCCTCGTTGCATCGCGAAAGACATCCAATAATTCACGTGGAATCGATGAAAGGCTAGTGTCAGTCGCACCTTCCTGTAATGTCTACTAAGCTGTTTTTTCCTGGGTCTAGTGTTCTTGAACAGCGGACCCTTTCTCGTGGGTCTCGTCGCACCCGACAGTATTAGTTTGAGATTCTCAAACCACCTCAACGTGCTGCCATAGAGCAGGGCTGTTGGCGCGCTGGTCAGCGTAGGCGAACCGGTCGGTTTAGTCTCCAGTGAGAGACTGACGTTGAGATTCTGAGAGCGGAATGCCCTGAAAGAGTCGTGCTCTTGATTGCTGGAGTATTCAGGTAATCGATCCGGGGCGCAGGGCGTCGCGGCGTGATGGTCGCGTGGGTCGCCCAGGCATACCCACGCCAGCTTGATACTCAATCTGACGTTAGGTAAATGCAGCAATCGACAATCGTCGTATTTACTAGCTGTTCGCACGTACACGTCGAGATCTCCCTTAATGATGATCTTCCCTTGCGTCCAGTCAAGTTCCAGCCCGGTCCACGTTAGCTCCATCTCTTCCGTAGTATTGTAAGGATCCAGGGAGCCGTGCAGCAACACCGTCAACCGTTTCACGCAGAGTGTCAATCTACCGTGAAGAGCCAATCGCATTCTATCCCAGAACGGTAACGGAGGACTCGGGTCTCGCGATGGATGTAGGATCTTCTCGAAACTGAGGTTGCATTGTGCTATCACCGGCTCCCAGCACGGCCCGAACGCATATCTGAACTTGTCAATGTCCCAATTGAGATCATGATAATACTTGAGAGATGTCATGCCTCTCTCCACGACTATGTCCTCCCACGGTGCGCCAATCTCGATCCTGACGGTCCTCTTCGCCCTCAGCGGCGCTAGAGCTTCCGCCCCAGCTAATCTACCCCATATATTCAGGTTTTCCACCAGGAGCAACGGCTGCGGGAAATCGCGAAGTTGGAGCTTCCATTCTGCACACTTTAGGCTGATCCCCCTAATCCACAGCGTACTAAATTCCAAGCCGTCTTCGGGCCACGGTGTTTCTGGGTCCATCTCCCGAAGTGCCCTTATCGCCTTCTCCGTACCGTTGATGGACGGATCAGCCAAAGCCAATATCTCCAGATCCAGCATGATCCAAGCGAACAGTCGGGTTCTCGCGGGACCAGCCCGCTGCATCTGCTTCCACCTCTGCACGTAGATCTCCGCGTTCTTTTTATTCAGACTGGCGTACAGTTCTTCGACCTTCCCCTGCGGCAGTAGTAAATGCGCGCGACAGAGCTCCTGCACCTTGGCGTCCAACATCGCTTGCCGTTTCAAGCTCTCCTTATACTCGTCTTCCAGCAACTCGTAGTTGTCGCGCAGACGCACCTCAAACGGATCGTCGCCGACCTCAAACGTCCACTCCTTGATCTTGATGATTAGATCGCAAGGCAGAGACTTTTGTATGGACGCGTTCGAAGAATGGATCTCCTTCAGCCACCTCCTGATGCTGAACAGCTCGTTCTGTATCGCGTTTGTGAATTGATGCTCATACGGAAAGCAGATTTTAATAGAATCCACATTCAGCGCCCAACATTCGTTCCAATCCAACACGAAGCCCTCGTTGCTCTGTCTCTCCACTCGAACTTCCGCATTATCGGTCACTCGCACTAATTCGAAACCTTCGATCATTATTATATCGGCCATGTCTAACGTGACTCGCACGTAGTTGAGCCTCCATTCGCCCTGCGACCAACGCAGTTGATCAGAAGTTAATATCAAGAAGTGTTTGGTAGAGATGTCGATGGAGACAGTGATCCCACCTGTGGCTAGCAAATCCAAAACGCGTTTCTTCTTCTGTACTTCTAAAAAAAGAGAATGATATGATGATTCCCAACACCAATTATACGAATATTTAATTATAATTTCACGAATTATAATTAAAACTGTAATAAATAAACAAATTATAATTATGGCAAATTCACAAAATATAGAAAATTATAACAGAACTATATTATATTATAGCAAATTCATACATGTCACTCAATGTCACATAGATTTATGAAAATATAAATAAATTAAAATATTTTTATAAAATAGCAAGAAAGTAATTAAAATCTTAATTAAAGTTCAAGCTGTTTAACTTAATTAATTCTATGTACTTTGCTTAATATATTATTTTTATAATATTGTCTATAATATTAATTTATTAACACTGCCTAATATTAATTTATTAGTTCTTTATCACAGTTAAAATTCTTTTTTACATAAGATGGTTTCTTGGCCAGTAATTGAGACATTTACATTAACTGATAATTATAGCTAATTATAATGAGCGAGAATTGATAAAATTAGCTAAGATTAAATAAGAAATAGTATTGACACGTAATGTCAATTTTTCCTCATTACCTTCGATACGAGTTGCGCTCATTTCATTCGAAATAATAGATCTGAAATTCTCGGACTCTACCCAGAATTGCAACAAGCGAAGATGCAAATTGGGACTCCACGCTAGATTTGTGCCATCGAGACTGATGTTGACGGCATCGGAATTAATCGCAGCTTTGCATTTCCGTATTGCCAAAAACGAATGGGTCAAAGCTTGCGCGTGCTGGCACATAACTGGCTCGTTCTTGTTGAGAGTTATTGCACTCATACCTTCCGCCACGCCTACAAATCGCTTTGCGCTTTGCTCCACAGTTGCAATGTCCAGACGCATCATTATGGACACTAAACGGACGTAAGACGAAGAAATATTATGAGAAACATTTCTAGGAGAGGCAGAATCGCACGCTATGAGTTACTCACGCTCGTTTTCCGCGATGAAGAATAGATTGCAATTCGTAATTTTCAGATTCAACTGAATAGGACTACGCGACACCGCATCTTTCTTCTTCACTATTGGTTGTTGATACTTCTTGCAACAACTGCAATTATTTTCAGGGATTATCTCATCGATGTTATATACGCTTTTATATTGCATAGAATTCTTACAAATACCTATAAGCTTGTTCCAGAAATTTAGCGAGCTCCAAACTCCATTCCGTCACGAGAGCGTCGACTGCGATTCCTATGGCGTTACTACGAGTGGTCGCTAGTAATACTCCGATAGACAGCGGGCTGCCCCATTGATGAGATGTCTCGGAGATGTTGCCGTTGACGCCGTTCAGAGCACAATACAAAGACTCGACAACCAATTCTGTATTTATATCCTCGTTTTTTTCTGTTCGATCGTACAAAACACGAATAGCATTAGCGTCAGTACATCATCGTAACGTTTCAATTTTAGGAAGTAGATAAGAGCATCAAATACCTGAGGCTGAATTAAAGGAGAATTTCATGTGTGCGACACCGCAAGACGCTTCTTGCACGTCCGGTAATTTAATATTCAACGAAGAATCATATAGCTCCGTATCTAGTCTCACTTCGAAAGTTGGTAGTCGATCTTTCAACGATATATTAGCGACAGGCTCCGAAAAATCATTCTCATTAGTGTACAGCAACGATTCCCAGTCTCTATGATCGTACATTATCGACAGATTATTGAGTTGTTCACTAATAAATAACACGTTCTTCTCCATCTGTACAAAATCCAACATAAACAAATAAAGTTTTGTTACATTTACACTGATTTGTTATTGCATTATATTTCGTTCACCCTCTCAACCTTATATACTCTTAATTTACTTTTGTTTCGATCGACAATGACTGCAGAGTTAAAATAGGAAGTTTTCCGCGTATGCATAAGCCATCTAAATTGACGGTAAAATTCAATCGCGCTCCATTAGCTTGAAATTTTGCGTTGACCTGAAGACTTCTCAAGGTACCCTCCAAACCTGTCATACTGCTGTCTTCTCTACCAGCTATTATCAACGAATTACCAATTTTTAATGTAAAGTCCTGAAAGTATTATCGATAATTTAGTAGAGTGTCGATGCTCTCTTATGCTACACCGATAACTGTTTATTTGCGATAGACTTACTTTGGGTAAAATAGGCGCTAATCTAGCCATTATATTACTGGACGAATCACTATTTACATTGTGGCATGATGCTGCAGGACTCAGTGTTTGTCTGTCCCTCAAGAAATTGATAAGGCCCGCACCGCCGGAACCTTCGGTCTGTGTTATTCCGATATATAATGTCTATAAATTAGATTCCACTTGATTCCTTTTGGAAGTGGTCGATGATCAGATTCACAGATACAAAGCTGCTATGCGTATTTAAATATAGAGCATGCATAAAACCAAAACATACTCTGTTCCATACACAGAAAAATACTTGAAAATTTATTTGTGGAATATAAAAGTTTATTCACAGAAATAAATTTCATATAAGTAATTTAGTATAAACAAACTATATTTTATAGGAATTAGTTATTTTTATTTAATAAAAATAAACTTTACTTCACACATAAGAATAAACTTTATATTTGACAAATAAATTTTTCCAAATAAATTTTGTTCTCAGTATAACAGCCTTTTCAATTATCTTCATCAAAGTATGTAATGCAAGTTTAATGCAAGATATAAAAATATATTGTAATCCTCTATTAAATAAGAATTTTGCCATCAAGACATTATTTGCTTACAAGCTTGAAGTGTTAAGGTGACAAATATTTGGCCAAGTACCATACCTCAACCGAAAGTTCCCCCTGAGCTTTAAATGTGGCTTCTACTGTTCCAGCAAATGTTATTTGTGAGAGACACGCGTCAGAAGCGTGTCGCAATAATTTCATAGCACCACCAACAATGGAAGCTGATGCTAAGAGTGTGCGTGCACCATGTACAATACTACCATCCAAACTGAGGCTCTCTGCACTTCCATTTGCTAACCAACCATTGCCAAGAGCCAACAGGCTTATGTTCTCCACATGCACAGCCATAAACTAAAATATTTAGGCATTTATAATAATCATGTAATCAATATAGTTTCATAAAATAAAGAAATAACTTGAAATTTTAGTTTTATATATGTACCTGTACAAATGTTATAATTATTGGAGGTATCTTTTTGTTTCTAAAATCTAGCACTTCATTGGATTGTTTTATTTTGTATGTTGGGCCAACTGGGACATCTTTATTTATTCTGACATCCCTCATAACAACAGCTAATAATTTTGCCACATCACTACTAAACAAACTGCTACGTACACTTATTTCTTCAACTTGCTAGAATTGATTATTGCACTTATCACATTATATTTCAATATACATATAATAAATTACAAGACTCACCAATGTGAAGCCATTTTTAGTTATATTAACATCACGAAGAATAAAATAAGGTAGAGAAATATGGCCCACTCGTAAATGAATTTTGTAACGACGCTTCACTAGCCATGCCAGCACTCTTGGTATCACCCTGTTAAACAGATATATTTTACATATACATATATACATTAATGTACAATTCTCTCTTGTTTTTTCTCGTTTTATATTTGTATATGATGTCACACTTACCATGTAAAATAACAATAAAGTATAAAAAGGACTATACAAAACGCAAGTAATCCAGTCATACTTTTAACATGTAATTAGATGTTAATCGTTTCGTAATCGGAAATACGTTCAAATATTCGAATAATACTGTTTTAGGTACAATGAGACATGTTTCACGTTCAATTCATATTAATTACATATTTCATAACCAAAAAAACTGACAGATACTTCAAAAATGATAAAGCACTTAAGCGCTGCGAATTTAGCGAAGTGCATGTGTATAGCATAAGACCAATGAGCATCGAGTATTAAACATCAAGCATCAATATGGCGACTTAATACTCGATGTTCATTGGTCCATACGATTTTATGCTATGTGCATATGCAGGGCTGCGTTCGGAAACGTCACCCAAGTGTACCCGTTACGTTGGAGTGAGCGAGATACAAGAGTGCGATAAAAAGAGAGGGAGAGTATTCGAGTGACGTTTCCGAACGCAGCCCAGTTATTAGTCCCGAGCCACAATAGGCTGCGTTCAGATTCCCTACCCGGGTGCATTCTAATACTAAAAGTGCTATAGTATATGTAACATATACTATAGTGTTTCTAGTAATAGAATGCACCTGGGTCGGAAATCTGAACGCATCCATAGGTATAGTAAGCTTTAAGCCTTAAGAAATTGATCAGTCACATGTGTTAAACAATTGGAAAGCACCCTATATCCATAGGCTAATCACAGTCTAATTATAGAGGAATAATCGATTGTGATTGGCTAATTTCTTACGGCTTAAAGCTTATTACACCTATTGTAGATCGGGACTTAAGGATTAGTTGTTCCAACTTCTTTGGTCTGTTTTTTTAGCTGCACTGCTGAACTAGTACAATAAGTAAAGCCAGCGGCACACGATGCTTGTGGAAATACTCTGTTCTGATTGGTGCATTTCTGAAGGTGGACCAATCAGAATAGAATATTTCCATTCAGCAAGCAATCCAGCACGAAAACAAGCATCGTGTGCCGCTGGCTTTACTTATTGCACTAATTCAGCAGTGCAGTTAAAAAGAACGGACCGCTAGATTTCTATGAAAACTAAAGCCAGTGACACACGCTGCTTGTTTTCGTGCTGTATTGCTTGCTGGATGGAAATACTCTGTTTTGATTGGTGCATTTCCATACATCTCAGAAATGCTGTTCTCCTATTGGATATTGGACATTGTACGTCGCACATTGGACGCAGCGTGAATCTTCCATAAATCCTCCATTTCTTTACGCGCTTCAGAATATTTGTAGTAGTTTCTACCCGAAATCGTCACATAGAATGTGCTTATGGAAGCCATTGTATCCGCATGAATATTGTGTGAGATATCGTGATACGTAATTACGAACGATACATAATTATGTCGTGATTATTAGACAGAAGCTGGTCAACAAATATCGTGAGAAAATGTACGTATAAATTTTTTATTTGATTATATTGGCAAGTACTTTATATATATTGCGTGTGTCGTTTCCATTGCGTGCAATCGGACATATTCCAGAATCCCGCGTTAGATTTTATGTTGAAAATAATTAACACATATGTTTAATTTTTTGGGTACTGTAGGCGTATATGTGAGTAAGATATTTTCTGTTACCTGTGATCGTATATACGCGTTTAGTGAAATGTTTGCAATAGCCTATGGACTCATGTATAGTCATTATATGAAGTTCGTTATATACTACCGGCATTTTCATGGGTTTCCACTTACATGTCGTCCTTTCAATTTGTTAACAACAGTTTCGGATGTAATATCAAGGAAAATTAATTAGAAGTTTTATATTTTTTTTTTAGTTGAAAGACATTTGTGAAAATGTCTATTCCACCATATTTACTGGGTCCAAACCCATGGGCCACAATGATGGCCCAGCAGCAAGCCCATGCCCAATTAGCTGCTGCCCAAGCACATGCACAAGCTGCAGCGCAAGCTGCTCATCATGCTCACATGCAAGCTATAGCTGGGCCACCGTTACCTCAGATGCCTAAACAACCAGAGGTTTTATCAGAGGATAAACTTCAGGAAAAAGGTAATAGAAAATAATTATTACAATGTATAGTTTTTGCAATGGTGATTTTCTTTATTTCAGCACAAAAATGGCAACAGCTGCAATCAAAGCGGTTTGCAGAAAAGAGGAAATTTGGGTTTGTAGATGCTCAGAAAGAAGACATGCCAGCTGAACATATAAGAAAGATCATCAGAGATCATGGTGATATGAGCAGTAGAAAATATCGACATGACAAGCGCGTTTACTTGGGGTAAGTTAGTATAAAGCAGGACAACAATGTTGTATTGTAAATTTTAAAATTGTCTATACAGATTATTTACATATTATTTGTGTGATGTATACATGGTCTTTTTCATGTAGACAATATAAACTTGTATGTATAATATTGTAAATTATATTAAAATATATAAAAGTGTAAAATATATACAAAATAAAAATTCAATAATGAGATAGTTATCTGTCATTATGTGACAAATTGGTAGATTCAATTCTAAGAATAAGAATATAATCTGAATTTTATGGACAATAATTTGTTTAAGAAATAAGGTTCATAAATTTACATCAGAATTTTTAAGATTGAATAAAAATACAAACTTTTCTTAATCTATAACCAAGCCATGTGTTCTTTAAATGACATCATAGATTATTCATTGTTTATTTAGGTAAGTTTCATGCATAGTTTTCATTATTTACACATAGAGCATCATGATTTATAAACACCTAACCCTGATATAATTAGCAATTGGATTTTCTAATTTTGAATATATATTTATTATAGCGCATTAAAATACATGCCACATGCTGTCATGAAACTGTTGGAAAATATGCCTATGCCATGGGAACAGATAAGAGATGTAAAAGTTTTATATCACATCACAGGAGCCATTACATTTGTTAATGAGATTCCTTGGGTTATAGAACCTGTATACATAGCTCAGTGGGGGTAAGATATAAGGATTATTTTTGTATTTTATCATTTTACAAAATTGCCCATTAAGAATTTATATTGTTTTAGCACCATGTGGATTATGATGAGACGAGAAAAGAGGGATCGTAGACATTTCAAGAGAATGAGATTCCCACCTTTTGATGACGAGGAACCCCCTCTAGATTATGCAGACAACGTTCTAGATGTCGAACCGTTAGAAGCTATACAAATCGAACTCGACTCGGAAGAAGACGAATCCGTGGCATCATGGTTTTATGAACACAAGCCGTTAGTTGGAACAAAGTGAGTTAATGTACATTGTAAATAGTATTTTTATTAATTAATTACAAGAAAGAAGCAAGAAGATAAGTTCTTGTATCTGTTTCTTGATTAACTTGATTAATATCAGCTCATTTGCTTCGTAATGATGAAAAGCGTAGGGGTCCTGAAATCAACTATACATGTGAGTTGACAACTTGGTTAACTGCGTATTGTTGTCTGAGACTGACGATACGAGTTATCCACAGTTGGACAAAATGCTACACTGAACGAATATTCTTAATAATATTATTTAAAACTACTCTATTATAATGTAAACCGAGTGATCCAATTATATTACAGACACGTAAACGGATCCACGTATCGGAGATGGAACTTGACGTTACCGCAAATGGCGACATTATACCGTTTAGCTAATCAATTGCTGACCGATCTGGTGGATCAGAATTTCTTCTATCTGTTTGATCCCAAATCTTTCTTCACTGCAAAAGCTTTAAATATGGCCATTCCTGGAGGACCGAAATTTGAGCCATTGGTGAAGGATTCAAATGCTGCTGATGAAGATTGGAATGAGTTCAATGACATAAATAAGATCATCATTAGACAGCCCATTAGAACGGAATATAGGATTGCGTTTCCTTATTTGTATAACAATATGCCTCACTTCGTGCATCTTTCATGGTAATTACATTGCTTTTTTCTCTTTATTCTTTATAATTTATAACACTTATGTTACTTTTATTATTCGATTACATTGTTGTTGATCTTATCTATTTTCCACACTAGTTTTAAGATCTGCTTGTTAGTATAACACGATCTTCCTAGCAGTGTGGTAGAGAAAATTTAGTGATTGTTATTCGTATCTTTCATAAAGACTAGAAAGAAACTGCTGATATCACTTACATTTCTTATCTCGTAACAATCCTTTTAAGACAAATTATTGATTTCTCTTTTCCTATTACATATTTTCGACATGCTGACACATATTTTCAGGTATCACGCTCCAAATGTTGTATACATAAAAACTGAAGATCCTGACTTGCCTGCATTTTATTTTGATCCGTTGATCAATCCTATCTCTCATAGAAATTCGTTGAAGGTAAATTTCTCTTAACTTTCTCTTAGAAGCATTCGATCATCTTTACATCGTTGGATTGTTATCGTTACAGACGATGGAGCCGCAAATCGAGGACGACGAGGACTTTGTTCTACCGAGCGAGGTGCAACCGTTCCTCCAAGAAATACCACTCTACACGGATAACACAGCAAATGGAATAGCTCTCTTGTGGGCGCCGAGACCGTTCAATACGCGTTCCGGAAGAACCAGGAGGGCCATCGACATTCCGTTAGTCAAATCTTGGTACAGAGAACACTGTCCGCCCGGTCAACCTGTGAAAGTGCGAGTCAGTTATCAAAAGCTGCTCAAGTACTTCGTACTAAATGCTCTGAAGCATAGGCCGCCGAAACCACAGAAGAAACGCTACCTGTTCCGTTCCTTCAAGTCAACCAAGTTCTTCCAAACGACCACGATAGACTGGGTCGAGGCTGGTCTGCAGGTGTGTCGTCAAGGATACAACATGCTAAATCTGTTGATACACAGGAAGAACCTCAACTACCTCCACTTGGATTACAATTTTAACTTGAAACCTGTGAAAACGCTCACGACAAAGGAGAGAAAGAAATCGCGTTTCGGCAATGCTTTTCATCTGTGCCGCGAAATCCTTCGTTTGACCAAACTCATTATTGATTCTCACGTGCAATATCGCCTGAACAACGTGGACGCCTTCCAGCTCGCCGACGGACTGCAATATATTTTCGCGCACGTAGGCCAATTAACCGGCATGTATCGTTACAAGTACAAGCTGATGCGACAGATTCGAATGTGCAAAGATTTGAAACACTTGATCTACTATCGCTTCAACACCGGACCGGTGGGTAAAGGGCCGGGCTGCGGCTTCTGGGCACCCGGTTGGCGCGTCTGGCTGTTCTTCATGAGAGGTATCACGCCGCTGTTGGAAAGATGGCTCGGTAACTTATTGTCCAGACAATTCGAAGGACGACATTCAAAGGGCGTGGCGAAGACCGTGACAAAGCAGCGAGTAGAATCGCACTTTGATCTCGAGCTGAGGGCGTCCGTTATGCACGACATAGTCGACATGATGCCAGAGGGAATTAAGCAGAACAAAGCGCGAACAATCTTGCAGCATCTGAGCGAGGCATGGCGATGTTGGAAGGCGAACATACCATGGAAAGTACCGGGCTTGCCGATCCCGATCGAGAATATGATACTGCGTTACGTTAAGATGAAGGCCGACTGGTGGACGAATACCGCCCACTACAATCGGGAGAGAATTCGACGTGGCGCCACGGTGGATAAAACCGTTTGCAAGAAAAACCTGGGTCGCTTGACGCGTCTTTATTTGAAGGCCGAGCAGGAACGACAGCACAATTACTTGAAGGACGGCCCATACATATCTCCGGAGGAGGCTGTAGCTATATTCACTACCTCGGTACATTGGCTGGAGTCCCGAAGGTTCGCGCCGATACCTTTTCCGCCGCTGTCCTACAAGCACGACACGAAACTGTTAATATTGGCACTGGAACGCTTGAAAGAAGCTTATAGTGTCAAGTCTAGGCTGAACCAAAGTCAGCGAGAGGAGCTGGGTCTAATAGAACAGGCATACGACAATCCGCATGAGGCATTATCTAGAATCAAACGACACTTACTGACGCAGAGATCTTTCAAAGAAATCGGTATCGAATTTATGGACCTTTATAGCCACTTGATTCCTGTGTACGATGTGGAACCTCTTGAGAAAATCACTGATGCCTACCTGGACCAATACTTATGGTATGAAGCGGACAAAAGACGATTATTCCCGCCGTGGGTAAAGCCGGCTGATACGGAGCCACCGCCGCTCCTTGTCTACAAATGGTGTCAGGGTATCAATAATCTTCAAGACGTGTGGGACGTTAGTGAAGGCGAATGCAATGTGTTACTGGAGTCGAAATTCGAGAAGCTATACGAGAAGATTGATCTCACGCTGCTCAACAGACTGCTACGTTTGATAGTCGATCACAATATTGCTGATTACATGACAGCAAAGAATAACGTCGTTATCAACTACAAGGACATGAATCACACCAACAGTTACGGAATCATCAGAGGCCTGCAATTTGCGTCTTTCATCGCTCAATATTATGGACTCGTATTAGATCTGCTTGTATTGGGTCTGCAAAGAGCTAGCGAGATGGCCGGACCGCCGCAGATGCCGAATGACTTCCTAACTTTCCAGGATGTCGCTTCAGAAACGGCGCATCCTATCCGATTGTACTGTCGTTACGTCGATCGCATACACCTATTTCTGCGCTTCTCTGCTGACGACGCGAGAGATCTTATCCAACGTTACCTCACCGAGCATCCGGATCCGAATAATGAGAATATCGTTGGCTACAACAACAAGAAGTGCTGGCCACGGGATGCTCGTATGCGGCTTATGAAGCACGACGTGAACCTGGGCCGCGCCGTTTTCTGGGACATTAAGAACCGACTGCCACGCTCCACCACCACTATTCAATGGGAGAACAGCTTCGTCAGCGTTTACAGCAAAGATAATCCTAATCTGCTGTTTAATATGAGTGGCTTCGAGTGCAGGATTCTACCCAAGTGCAGGACAACTCACGAGGAATTCACTCACCGCGACGGTGTCTGGAATCTCCAGAACGAGATCACCAAGGAGAGGACAGCGCAGTGCTTCTTACGCGTCGATGATGAGAGTCTACAGCGATTCCACAATCGAGTCAGACAGATTCTCATGGCTTCAGGCTCGACCACATTCACCAAGATTGTCAACAAATGGAACACTGCGTTGATTGGTCTGATGACTTACTTCAGAGAGGCCGTGGTGAACACGCAGGAGTTACTGGACTTGCTCGTGAAGTGCGAAAACAAAATCCAAACTCGTATCAAGATCGGACTTAACTCTAAAATGCCCTCTCGCTTTCCACCTGTGGTCTTTTACACGCCCAAAGAGCTGGGCGGCCTCGGAATGTTGTCGATGGGCCACGTGTTAATACCGCAGTCGGATCTGAGATGGTCGAAACAGACTGACGTGGGCATCACACATTTCCGTTCGGGCATGAGTCACGACGAGGATCAATTGATACCTAACTTGTATCGCTATATACAACCATGGGAGTCTGAATTCATCGATTCTCAACGCGTCTGGGCTGAATATGCCTTAAAGCGGCAAGAGGCTAATGCGCAAAATCGCAGGCTCACCCTGGAGGATCTTGAGGACAGTTGGGACCGCGGTATTCCTAGAATAAACACATTGTTCCAAAAGGATCGGCACACTCTGGCTTATGACAAAGGCTGGCGTATTCGCACGGAATTCAAGCAATACCAGGTGTTAAAACAGAATCCGTTCTGGTGGACTCATCAGCGTCATGACGGCAAATTGTGGAACTTGAACAACTACAGAACCGACATGATCCAAGCGCTCGGTGGTGTCGAAGGTATCTTAGAGCACACGCTCTTCAAGGGTACTTACTTCCCCACCTGGGAAGGTCTCTTCTGGGAGAAAGCGTCTGGTTTCGAAGAATCCATGAAATACAAGAAACTGACTAATGCGCAACGCTCCGGTCTGAATCAGATCCCTAATCGTCGATTTACACTGTGGTGGTCGCCCACGATCAACCGCGCGAACGTCTACGTCGGTTTTCAGGTACAGCTCGATCTGACGGGCATATTCATGCACGGCAAGATACCGACTCTGAAGATCTCGCTGATCCAGATATTCCGTGCTCACTTGTGGCAGAAAGTGCACGAGTCGATTGTGATGGATCTCTGTCAGGTGTTCGATCAGGAACTGGACGCATTGGAGATTGAAACCGTGCAAAAAGAGACGATCCATCCGAGAAAGTCCTACAAAATGAACTCTTCGTGTGCCGACATACTTCTGTTCTCCGCCTACAAGTGGAACGTATCCCGGCCGTCGCTTCTCGCCGATTCTAAGGATGTCATGGATAACACGACTACCCAGAAATACTGGATCGACGTACAGCTGAGATGGGGCGACTACGATTCACACGACATCGAACGATACGCGCGCGCCAAATTCCTGGACTACACCACGGACAACATGTCGATTTATCCATCTCCCACCGGTCTCTTGATAGCCATAGATCTGGCGTACAACTTACATAGTGCTTATGGCAACTGGTTCCCCGGTTGTAAGCCGCTCATACAGCAAGCCATGGCGAAAATCATGAAGGCGAATCCCGCTCTATACGTGTTACGCGAACGCATCCGTAAGGCTTTGCAACTTTACTCGTCCGAACCCACGGAGCCTTACCTCTCTTCACAGAATTATGGCGAACTTTTCTCCAATCAGATTATATGGTTTGTCGACGACACGAATGTGTACCGCGTGACGATCCACAAAACCTTCGAAGGCAACTTGACCACGAAGCCGATCAATGGCGCGATCTTTATCTTCAATCCGCGCACTGGTCAACTCTTCTTGAAGATTATTCATACCTCCGTTTGGGCAGGTCAAAAACGTTTGGGTCAGTTGGCCAAATGGAAGACCGCCGAAGAAGTCGCCGCTCTCATTCGCTCCTTACCTGTGGAGGAACAGCCGAAACAGATTATCGTCACCAGGAAAGGCATGTTGGATCCCTTGGAAGTGCATTTGCTGGATTTCCCTAATATAGTTATTAAAGGATCCGAGCTACAGTTACCTTTCCAAGCGTGTCTCAAGGTGGAGAAGTTCGGTGATCTAATTTTGAAGGCGACTGAACCGCAGATGGTGTTATTCAATCTATACGACGATTGGCTAAAGACCATCTCTTCGTATACCGCGTTCTCGCGACTAATTCTAATCCTGCGCGCGTTGCACGTCAACACCGAGCGAACGAAAGTCGTGTTGAAGCCCGACAAAACAACCATCACCGAACCGCACCACATATGGCCGTCGTTAACGGACGACGAGTGGATCAAAGTAGAGGTGCAGCTCAAAGATTTGATTCTGGCCGACTACGGCAAAAAGAATAACGTCAATGTCGCGTCGCTCACTCAATCCGAGATTCGTGATATTATCCTGGGTATGGAGATTAGCGCGCCGTCCGCTCAACGCCAGCAGATTGCCGAGATTGAGAAGCAAACCAAGGAGCAGAGTCAGCTCACCGCGACCACCACGAGAACTGTGAATAAGCACGGCGACGAAATCATTACCGCGACCACGTCCAACTATGAGACGCAGACATTCAGCTCCAAGACCGAATGGCGAGTGCGCGCTATCTCCGCGACTAATCTTCACCTCAGAACGAACCATATCTACGTATCGTCCGATGACATCAAAGAGACTGGCTACACTTACATTCTGCCGAAGAACGTGCTGAAGAAGTTTGTCACCATCTCCGATCTGCGAGCTCAGATTGCTGGTTATCTATATGGCATTAGTCCACCCGACAATCCTCAGGTAATTATGTGTGTGTGTTCAAATAGATGCTTTTACTGACCATTTCTACTATCTATCCTGTAAGTCTAAAATCCTTTTTCTAAATATCCTGTGTATATATATATATATATAAAATATTTAAAATAGTTATAAAACTTATAAAATATTCCTTTCATAATTAAAAAGAACTTAACAATTTTTGTTAACCAGAAAAGAGAAAAATGTTTTAATATATTCTAAATATATCTCTCTTATGCATTAATAATAATTCTATTTTAAATGTCAAAGGTGAAAGAAATTAGGTGCATCGTGATGGCACCTCAGTGGGGAACACATCAGACCGTTCATCTACCAAATACATTACCTAACCATCAATACTTGAAAGAGATGGAACCTTTAGGATGGATACACACGCAGCCTAACGAGCTGCCGCAACTCTCGCCGCAAGATATATCTACTCACGCCAGAATCATGGCGGAAAATTCTATTTGGGATGGCGAAAAAACCATCGTTATTACTTGCAGTTTCACTCCTGGTTCCTGTTCACTCACAGCATACAAGCTAACACCGAGTGGTTTCGAGTGGGGAAAGCAAAATACGGACAAGGGTAATAATCCGAAGGGTTACCTGCCTAGCCATTACGAGAAGGTACAGATGTTGCTGTCGGACCGTTTCCTTGGGTTCTTCATGGTACCCAGTCAAGGCTCGTGGAACTACAATTTCATGGGCGTGAGGCATGATCCCAATATGAAATACGAACTGCAGTTGGCGAATCCGAAGGAATTTTATCACGAAGTACACAGACCGGCCCATTTCCTCAACTTTTCCAGTTTGGAAGACGGCGAAGGTGTCGGCGCTGATCGAGAAGATATGTTCACGTAAATTTAGTAAACGTGTCCTTGGTTCGACAAAGTTTCAGCTAAGTTGTTTTAGAAAACTGTGACAACTTTTACGGCAAAATATATATATTCATTCGTGCAACGATTGTGACAGAAAATACCATCACTTTTGAGTACATATTGTCGTGTGTATCTTTACATAGTAAAATTCTGCTACAGAATATTGTAGGTATCACTTGTGATTATATTGTAAGTTATATTAAAGTGCAAATTTGTACAAAATTACTGGTATTATTGGTACATTTGATGAATACATAAATTATACATAACATACTTTTATTATACTTTACTGAAAGTGGTATTAATAAATCCATGGTAAATGTTTTAGTAATATTTAGTAATTTGAATATTTCAGGAATAAACGTGACAATAACGAAAAATTGAGATCAAATAATATGTAATCAAATCACTCATTTGTTGCAACAATGGCATAACTCAAAATATAACTAAAAATCGCCTTTATTGAGTTATTAGTACAGAGAAAGGTTTTGCTACATATTTACAGCTAATTATTCGATCTGCTTTAATAGATAAAAAAGATCACCAGAGATTTAATCGGAGAGGTTGTTATACATTTTCTTACTGCTAATTAAGACCAATGGATGAAAATTTCTCGCGAATAAAGTAGCACTTACCGTTATAAATTGCTGGTTTATTTAACTGTATAATAGCTATGTCATTTCTATATAACGGCTTATCGTAATTCTTATGAATAATTATCGTTTCCGGCAGAAAATCTTGCACCGGTTTCGCGTAGTAGCCATTCTTATAGTCAGAATCGGTCAGGATGTTGTGCTCACCCACGCAATTCACTAACGATTATTAATATAGGCCTTAATTTAATTAAAACGTAATATAAAACAAATCAATAATGTAATGTATTATGTACTGATGTTAAATTTAAAATCGTCTTTCAAATAGCGGCGATATTATATCGATATTTTTAATATCAGGATTTTCAGAATAAATTAAAAAATGTCTTATAACCTATTATCGAGTTATATTATGTTTTCGATACAATACAGAAAAATTATTAGCTAGATGCTGTTTATAGCAATCATTACCTCGATTCCTCGTTAAAGGAAGTGGCTCGTAGCAGAGCCTTTGGAACTAACTTACAAAAATAACTTATTTAAATTATTATAACATCCATTAAATTATTATAACATTTAAATAATAACATCCATCTTCAGGAATTGTTAGATAAATATTAATCTTCCTTGTTGTTTATTTTGATTTAAACAGTCCCGTTCAAAAAGCAACGCATTTTTCAAAATAAAAAATGCTGCTAACACTAAAGCCAGATCACAAAAAGTATGTATTTGTTTCTAGCAGAACAATCATCGCCAGGTACAGGCAAATCATTTGTTTAAATTTATATTTCACTACGAGAAAGTCGTAAGAAATGATCGTAATCGTAATTTTCGCAGTTCTACAAGACTTGCAAATTAGCCTTGGATTATCTGCAGAAAGGCCCAAATGTTAAAGTGTACAATGTTGCTGCTGATAAATAGTTGATTGTTGCTTTCAAAATGTGATGCAGACCCACAGTCTCAACATATCATGCACTAAAGTTATTAGAATTTTCTAAACGTACGCAATATACATTTGTTATTTATTGATTATTTAAAAAAGCGCCAACAATGTATCAGAGTAGTATATCAGTGTTTTTTGTATGTAAATATAAGACATTAATAACCTTGTTAGATCCTTTCTAATCTCTCTTTTATTAATAAAAGTGCCTTTCAATGTTTTTATGAGCCGATCAGGAAATTTATAAGCCATATTTAGAGGCAATGTTATCAAGAATTTACAATAAGGGCCTTAATGTTAAGAGGTTGCTGAATACTAACATAATGTAGTCTCATAGTTTGTACTGTTTTTCTATTTGGTTTCATACAATTGTAAATAGTGAAAGTACAAAGGTCAAGGTATAAAAAATACTAACTACCTTGGTGAAAATATGTTGCTGAAAATTTCTAACAAAACAATGAAAAATTCAATGAATTGGAACACTTTAAAAAAGTAAGGGAACATTTCAGATTTTGTAAAAATGAAAAAAACATCGTTTCAATGAAAATTTTTATTCATTTTCTGAATAATTATGCAATTTTTTTTCTCTGAGCATTCACTGTAAAATACTGAAATACTGAAATTGTATTGGGAGTACAAATTAGTTCGGTCCGTTTTTTTGTGGTCAAAAATGCATTTATTTCAGAACAAAATGAGTGAACAGATTAATCAAAGTATTGTCCATCACTGGCTACTACTTTTTCTCACCTCTCAGGCAATTTTCGAATTCCATCTCGAAAAAATGTCTCGTCTTTTGAGGCGATCCAAGTTAGGAGCCAATTTTCGATTTCTGCGAAAGAAGTGAACCGGTGATCTGCCAAATCGTGCTGCATCCGTCGGAACAACCAGTAATCAGAAGGAGCAATGTCCGGCGAATATGGCGGGTGCGATAAAATATCCCACTTGAACGTTTCCAATTATCAATGATTCTTAGTATGATATTTCTATAAAGGTACTATTTGCTAACATTTGAAATTTATTAAAAATCAAATTTTGTTACAGAAATTATGACAAGAGAAATTATGACAAAAAATGTTTGTATTATTCTTACATTTTTCGAAAAAGTATTGGAAATATTACTTTTTCTGAAAGTTTTGGAAATATTACTTTAACATTGAACGGTCTTCATTATTATATAAATAAGATAAAATCAGAGAAGACATGTTATATTATCAGAAAAAGTAGAATTTTATCATAAAAATCATTATTTCTTATAATTTATGAAATATATTTTTGATTATTACGAAAATCTGATTTTTTTAGAAAATGGAATAGTTAATTTTAGTCTATTACATTAAAATACAAATGTCACAATATTTTGGATATTTTCAGAATTTTACTGAAAAGAAAAGAAGAAATCGGATTTTATCATAAAAAATTTCTTACTTTTTCTGAAAATCCTGCTTTTTAGAGAAAGTCTTATATTTTCATTAAAAAATTTTTACCAGGGTATTGTATAAAAAACAAAAGAATTTCTTGTAAATGAAAAATAGTATGTTATAGGATTGTAAATATTTTTATAAAATGAAAGTATAAATATCTAACTATAAGTATGTATAAGTCTAAGTATAAGTCTAAGTATGAAAGTATAAGTATTTATATAATTTTTATATAAATTTATATAATTTTTATATAAATGAAAGTATATAATACAACCCTTATAGAAATATCATACTAAGAATCATTGATAATTACTTATTATCCAGTATTTTTAATACTGAAAATAAGTAATTATCAATGATTCTTAGTATGATATTTCTATAAAGGAATGGACATGTCCATGCCTTTTTTAGAGAGGGAAACGACGATTACTTACGAAATTATGCCAATATAATATTTTAAAATTCTCATACAAAGTTATAGCAATTCAAAACATTAAATCGTGTTTCTTGAAAAATTATATTTTTTGAGTTATGTCATTGTTACAGCAAATGAGTTATATAATAATCTTACATACAGGTAACTATAGTTACAAGCACATTTCAAGCACATCAAGCGCATTGTTAATGATGATATATAAAAATAAATTAAAAAATATATATAATATCTTTGTAATATATATAATATCTCTGTAAAAAGATTTAGAGCTATTAAAAGAATACATACTAACAAACAAGACAAATAACCTTTTCAGGCCAAAAAACAATAATACTATAAAATAAAATATTCATTTAAGCAAAACTACTAAGTGAATATGTTTTGAATTTTATATATGTAATTAGATAATATATATTTGCAATAAAACAAATAATATATGATTATTTTTTGCGCAAAAATGAGATGTCACAGCATCCATTGCCTACAGCTCTTGCACACTTTTCTGATTTGCATAATTTACGTTTGTATAATAATCCAATTAAAAAAATGAAAAAAATTGCTCATAAAATAATGTTATAATTATAATCTCTCAAATCAGAATTTTTATTTCCAAATAATAAAATTTTTTAGCTTATTTTAAAGAAGAAATTAAATTTTGCTTATAAAATTCGCCTTTTTATTTTATTTATCAAAATGAAACAAATATAAAAATTTTGAAATAAGAAATAAATTATAAATAAATTATTTATTTTAATATAAATATATTACTTAATTACATAAATAAAATTCAAATATATTTACTTAGTAATTTTCTTTCAATTCCCGAATATTTTTGTTGCGTTTTTGGCCTGAAAAAATAATTTGCCTTTGTAAAATATGAAAAGGAACAAGTGTATATATTACTTGAAAATCACAGTAGATTTGTTGTTTCGAATATGTTTGCATATATATGGGGCGTCCTAAATACGAAAATAAATATAAAAATATCTCAAAAACAAAATGATTCGTGAAAAATATCTTAAACGTAAGTTTAACATTGAAGGAGGTATCATACTGATATACGTATGACTGTATGTCCTTATCAA